AACTATACTTGACCACAGAAGTGTATTCAGTTGTGTTTTTATTTTAGGTATACATCTTCCATAGAAAAACAAACTACATAATACAATCATGCTACAATGTTATAAGACCTACCCAAAAACAATAAACTGCATTTTTCACAAAACTGAATACATCAATACCGTTAGTTAAAAATATTTGCTTTATAAAACAATGTAGTCAGTAAAATATTTCTCGAAATCTTTAAATGACACAAAAATACTTAAGGCTTGTTTAGAAATAATATACACTGAATTCTATGTAACTAAAGCCTACTATGGATATTTTTAGGGTAGTCCAACCAAAGATGCTGAATCACAAACATGAATAACGAAACATAGCTTCTGAAGGATCCAAACTGATGTTTAAACTGAGGAAAAACTGTCTAGGTAGTTTAGATACTCATTTTATCCAGTTGAAACCAAGACAAGTGATTGGGTAAATGACGGTTCTAAACAAATATTACCACTCAGTTATTCCACCAACAATTGTTCAATTAATCAAATCAACAGCAACAAATAAATGATATTCTATCCCTCCTGGATAGATCGGATTCGTTCGACAGATAATATTTGGTTGCTTTATAACACAGAGTGCTTCCAATTCACAATCAGAATGCACAATTCCAGCCAAAGCAAGCAATCCAATCAAAAGAGGAACAAATCAATATGGCTGCCGACAAGACCAAGTATCAGCTTAAACAACATAATTCAGTTCAGAAAGAAACATAGAAACTCAGTGAAGGCAGAAGAAATGGAAACTATAACAAAATACAAATATATCCTCTGAGATGGAATCTAACAGATTAAAAAATTGTACAACTGAAGGAATTAATAGGGACAAATTACAAATGTATACATGGAGGGATTTTCACAAACAGAGACTTCAAAAAATGGATTTTACAGCTTCTAATTCATTTTTTAACTAGATGATATGCAGAACTTACTAACTAACACGGACAGAAATAATCGCACTTACGGGGTTCCACACACTTGATTTATATAACAACGATGAGTATTGCTCAAAACTTAAGACAGTCAAATCTAAGTTTGGAAAATACAAAAACTTACAAAAAATGTAGCCGATCTTAAACAAGCTTTTATCATTTTCTGATAGGTTAATTTTATGCTTTTATGATATTGATTAGGAAGTATCATTATTTCGAGATTTTATCGACTTTCTGATATCATCAGAATAAGCTGTTATATAAGTAGAAGTCAATGAAATCTTTGATTTTGATAGATAACTTGACATTCAATTATTTGTCTAACAATCTATTCGGTGTGGTACTGAAAAGAGAGCACAGTCAACAATGTCACTGTGATCGATTCAAATTAAATGTTGCACTGTTTTTTTATAGCTCTCCATACAACTAACTAGTCGTCAGTATGCAATTATTAAAAATAATTTTAGCTGATGAAATATTAAATTTTCACATGACAAACTACTTTTTCATATTACTTGCCAATACTGTTGATAAAGCATAAGAATAATAACGAAAATATTTCCTACAAACTGATCCACATTAAATATCAAACTATTTCTCATATTTATGATGTATCGTTAAACAAAGTTTTTTATCTGTAAGGGATGACAATCCATTAAAGAGGAGTATATCTTATTGAAGTGAGAAAGAAATCGAGTTGTGCGTAGCCAAACACTTTTCACGCTGACATGAGAATATATAGAGTGCAAAACAAATTACAGAAAACTAGAGAGGCCTAGTGGTCCAACTCAATAACGCGGAGCATGACTGAGTATTTATAGCTAGAGAAAAATAAGCTGAACATGTAATACAGGCGGGCAAAGTAAGCAAGTACATATGCATACAAACAAAAAAACAACTCAAATGTAATTAAATAATAAATGACAAGGTCAAAATACGTGGAAATGGTAAATCGGGCAGAAAAGGTTAATTAGTTATAGTTCAAACGCTAGGCAAAGTAATGTGGACTCGACATATCATAGTACACACACACACTATGATTGTTTTTTTTTTACATCAAACATGAACTCCTATGAATTCATCTGTTATGTATGATTAATCATAGGCGTTCAATAGAATCACAAAAATAAAAAGAAATAAATGGAACAATAATTCACATGATTAGAAATGATTCAGTCTATTAAAATAGTTTAATTGCCTATAAAATTGTCTGTTTTTTTTTACAATCTATTCTTCTTATTATTATTGTATGGTACAGAAATTATTTAATCCAAAATTATACTTGATTAATCATGTTACGCGTCTCAACTACAATGTTAATTGAAAATAAATAAATAAATAATAATGTTTGGATACAGTAATCAAATCAAATTTATCCTATTGAAAATTTTATTCATCATTTTGCACTGAAAAGTCAAAAAACTTCACTTTACACATCAATGTATATTAATGTATAAGTCAAATGTAACATACAACAGGTTAGTTAGACAATTTATTGTAGAATACAGAATTCAAATATTCACTAGAGGAATGTTATAAAAATGTATTGATTCGACTTTAATAGTTTAACTAGCCAACTTAATACATTATTCAACAATTGATAAACACTTGTGAATAGTTCATTTTAACTGAACATTTAACAACAACAACAACAACAATAAAGACGATTAAATAGTGGAGAAACGGAATAGATTAGTTTGTTAATCTAAAATGGAAATTATTTGTAACTTATGTTCAATGTTTACACTACGTAATTAATCTAACAAAAAAAAGACTTGACGAGAAAAATTCTTAAAATAGTGCTTCTGCAGCTACTTACTTACGCTGGTTAATTCTCGTGAAGCATAGGTCGCTGACTAGCACTATGCAACTACTACTCTATATATTATTTCATTTCCATCGGTCGATATTTCTGTGTAAGTGCATATAAGATTTTTTGTTACTCATTCTGCACGTAGTTGAAGAGAATCTACCAATCGATCGACTCTTAATGAAGCTTAGAAAGCTATCACGAATCTAAAGCGAGGGAGAGCAGCGGATCCTGAGATTTTTCGAAGGTTGTAGTTCAGGTTTGGCAGTTGGATTGACTGAGATCTTAGGTAGACTCTGGAAACTTGGAGTAATCTCATCTAACTGGACTCAACCACTGATTATAACAGTTTATAAGAAAGTACAAAAGTCCTATTGTGACAGTTAAAGAGGAATCAGTCTGACTAATGTAGTGTCTAAAATGCTAGCCTCGGTAATACTTAGATGCCTTACTAAAGCTCGTGAAGAGCAGATTCGAGAAAACCATGCTGGTATCACACCTGGACGTGAATGTGTATACCAAACATTCACACTTCGTCAGGTCCTGGAACATAGACACACATTTAGGCATCTCACTATAGTTGTTTTCCTAGACCTAAAAGCAGCATTTGACTCTGTTGATTGTGAGGTTCTACGGCAGTGTCTGTCATTAAAAGGTGTATCAAAGAAGTAGATTAACTATGTACAGGCTCTGTACTCGAGAACTACTGGTCGAGTGAGAGCTTATGGCGAACTGTCATCGGAATTGATTATCTGAAGTGTGATTCGACTGGCTGTTGCGAACCTGAGTCGCTGATGGCGTAGGTGAGGTATTCGCCTGCTAACTGAAGGACGAGTCTACTACGCAGCAGTTCGCTCCATTCTACTTTGTGGCTGTGAAACATGTCCATTAAGAATAGAGAATATTCGTAGGTTACTAGTAATTGATCATAAGTGTCTCCGAAGCGTCATTTGTATATATATCCCGGCACCTTGAGTAAGCAATGCTGCCGGCAGATCAATAAATGAAGTATTGAAACTTCATCAGTTGAAGTGGTTGGGACATGTGTTACGTATTCCCAACCACCGACTGCCTTGAAGAGCTATGTTTTGAGGTGTAGGAGTAGGTTAGAAGAAAACTAGGGGTCGCCAATCCAAAACATGGCACAAATCCACGAAGTCACGGACCACTGGATCGAGTCATGTTGGTAGGTGTAGACTATCAGCTTGTTGCCCGCGAGACAATAGTAACCAATGGTTGTATATTTTGAATGACGGCTCAAAATCTTTTCCAATTACGTACGTGCATCCATTCTTTGTTTTCTCTCGTGAGCATTTCTTATCACCTTTTCAAATTTGTTTCACTGGATTATACATCTTGAATAATTTATTAGAACACTAGGCCTTTTGTTTACTACTAATATTTCTACTACCTCCACTACTATGGGATTTGAATTGACAATTGCTTTTCTATGCCAGTGTGGTATATCAATTTGAATTAGTGTGGGTACTTACGAACTTCTACGTTGTAGGTGACTGACTGACGAAGAATGTAGGTCATGTAGATACACATCCTCTTGACTTTTGAAATTGGCATATGGAAGGTGAAACAGTCGATAATCAGCCTGTTTTGCAAATGGAAGTTTAGAGATAAAGTGTACACACTTCTTACCATCAACCTAGAACTGAGAGTTTCCTGTCAAACCCTCACATCAATGTTGATTATTGGAATTGAAATAATGAATGAGATGACTTTCATAGAATAGGGAAACGACCAGAACTAGTGTAAATATGAATCAGATTATCGCCTTAGGTAAAGTTCGAACAACAAATTCAAGTAGAAGCTACCAAACAAGTTTAATTATGAATGTATTAGATCTGAAATTAAAAATTGTGATTGAATTTTGTCGCAAAGTTCTCCAATTACAATGGAACAACTAATGGAGAGTATATAGAGGAGCATTTCGAAAAAAACAAGAAAAAAACAAACATCACTATTAGAAATTCAGACAACATTGCAAACGACAAGAATAAACATTATACAATATAGTATTATGAAAAATAACATGTTACGCCAAAATATGGAATGAAAGATTCTATTGTCATATACAAAACAAAGTAATTATAATTAAAAATAGACACAAGAAAAATAAGAAGAGGAAAAATGTAAAACAAAATATAACAAATAAATTTTGAAGAAATAAATGAATTAAAATAATAATAATAATAATAATAATAATAATAATAATAATAATAATAATAATAATAATGAATGTACCGGTTATGTGTGTTCATCAAGTTGCAGGCAAATAACTACAGTATCATTGATGACATCATACTATGAAGCTGTATTTGCAATAAGTTCAATTATTTTTTTTCTGTGAAATCCATGTAATAATAACAGTAATATAACAGAATGTGATTTACACACCACACATTCAAGTAATCCATCACTGACAATAAGTGAATGGAATGAATCTATAAGGAAAGATTCTGTCAAGGTAGGTAACAAAAACTGAAGTCATTTATCATTTATCATCTATTTGAAATAAATAACATATTCATGTATTAGATGAAATATAAAATATTAAGAGTAAAGATAATAATGATCATAAGTAATTAATGATAACAAGTGATCAGATCAATCAGTGAATAATTTTGAATGAAAATAGTTTGTTTGTTTTTTTTTAAAAAGGAAAAAGCATCTTTTCAGAATCAGGTTGTTAAAAATAAGAAATGAATTATTCAAAACAAACAAAAAAAATATATGGTAATTTCATTGTTTATTCTATTTCATCAGATAAATCAGAATGTTTTTTATTTTTGTCATGTCGTCGCCGAGCATCAACAGCACCACCAGCTCCACGAGTTGGACTAGTCACATAATGATTAGTAGGAGAAGTGATGATAATAATTCCATGATTGCTAATAGGAGTGGATGTGGTAGTAGCAGAAGTATAAGTAGTATTGATAGTGTTATTACCACTATTATTGCTACTACTGCTACCACTACTAATGCTATTATTACTACTGGGAATCGATGAATTTACTTTATAATTTGGTCGGATTCTAATAATTGTATTTGTAGTATATTTTATATCTGGTTTTATTAGACAACTTGAAGAACGTGTTGGAGAGCAGTCAAATGATTTAGTATTGTTGCAAACTACTATCTTATCATAATTATGGTCATTAACTTCATCATCGAAATTCTCTTCACAATTCAAGTAGTAGGTACGTAAAGTGAAGTCACGAAATACATCGTTGACCGTTTCATCGTTCAATATGATACCAGAGCTCTGTTAGAGAAATGAATAGAGAAGGGAAAAAAATAATAATTAATATAACAAAAAATAAACCTTGAATTTGATTGAATTGCATAAATTTGAGAAACTGATATTTTGATGATAAAGCATGGAGTTATCTTCGTCCGCTCAAAGGCTGGGGGCGAGGAGGGTTCCATTTCTCCCTTGAAACTCTGTCATATGGTCATGCATTTATAGCCTGTGACAAGTTCTACTGATTGTCTGCACATAGTTAGGGTTGTGGCTACGAGAATGATAAGCAAAAGCAAGTGTCTGGCGCTTTGATAGAGTTGGTGGGTGCGGAGGGTTTACCTACGGTAGTTTGTGAGCCGTAACAGTAAGTTAATACTGTACACGGGTCAAAGGATACTCAGGGTTAGAGTGTCGTATAAATTAATTTTCAGTCATTAGGTATGTTGTAAAGTGGGAAATAAGTAACAGTGACAAACGATGGAAACTAATTATGGAGGTATTATTGTACCTGCTTCAAAGCCTGATAAATACTAGCATTGATTTTTGTTCCTATCTTACTGTGCGAATCTTAAGCTTTTGGTTGATGTATGGTTTCATTGTCACATTCTGTTTTACTCCAAAATTATTGTAACACACGTAACCTCACTATTCTATTTTTCTACCCTAGACGGATAGTTTCAGCATAGTTGTATTTTCTAAATACTTGCGCGTTGTGGTTTTGCAAAGTATGTATTTAGACGTGTCTTTTCTCGTAAATCGAATCAGGAACAAATCGAATAGTTTGTCAGCCGATTAGTCTTTTCTCTCTCGGTTGCTAGCTTATCCGGCCGCAGAGTAGTTTTCTTCGCTCTCTCAAGACCGTTCGGTTATAACCGAAGTTATGTGCTACTGGTCTCAATGTTAACTAGATAGCCTATTGCGTCAAGGCCTTCAAACTAGATTGAAGCCAAATAATTTCTTGTGTATTAGTGGCAGCCACCGACCTAGTGACGATATCAAATAATTTTGTTTCACTGTTTTTCGTATTAGATTTCTGTACGTCAAGGTGGCTAAGAGAGTGGCTTTCCAAGGAAATCATCTACTTTGGCTTCAGCACCCAAGCCGTATTCTAACTCACAAAGAATTATTATTCGGCATGGTGCATACTAATTTTGGCGACCAGCAGCACTATATTCCAAGAATAACAAATAATTAATAGTAAAAATTTTACATTCAGTACTCAGTTATACTGTTCACTAGGCGTGCAGAAACAAATTAGTTGATACTGTAAGCCTTTTTGAATTGCTAGAACTGCAAACACTAGGAATTCATTATTCATCTACTTAAATAAAATCAATGTATAATACTGTGACTGATTCTCATTGTCAGGATAATATTAGGAGTTATGGTCCGGTTCAGGTAATATACAAGCATCAAACAGGACTAATTTAACTACACAGACAGAACAAGTTGAAAGTTTTATTTCCCGAAAGTGCATAATGGTACCTGTTACTAATATGTATTTATGGGTTAGATAAGGATATAAGTGGATGGATATATCGACGAGATGGACGATTTCCGTACAACAGCTTGAGTCTGTTCCTACCTGATTAGTTTTATTTCATTCTGTTTAACACAAACCCTCTTAGATCCCTCTTATATTATTATATGCTTTTTACTCAAATAATGAAACTCATTTACTAATTATACGCCAATAAACTTAGCTTAAAGCCACATTGTGTGTGTGTGTGTGTGTGTATGTGTGAGGAATGATTATCCCAATCATTAGGCTGTTCAAACTGAAATAGTAAGTGGACAGGAGTTTAAGTTACATTTTTCAGCTGACAAGTCACCGGTAGACTAACAAACAATGCAACTTTATAAATAAAAATGATTTCAATAATAAAACCACATATACTGTATTGTTTAATAAGTGAATAATGTGGATGAATGTCACATAATCGGAAACTATGGTCTAATCATTATTATCATTGTTAATAATATTAATAATTGTGGTAAATTTACAAATTGTAAATTTGACAGATAGAGAAAATAAGTTATAATTCATTGTTTACTGCACATATTATTCACAACCATAAGGTCTCTGTGCATGTACAACACTTTAAAATGACTCGTTTTTATTGAAAATTTCACATTGAAATAAAAATGTCTGGTAGATTTTGTTTAGATAATCATTAGATGAATTAAAATGTAAACCTGAAACCTGGTAATTAAAAACATAAACAGATGAATTGTCAATTTGCTCTAGAATGTAGTGGTCAGCTTATAATTTAGAAAATCTTCAGTGTTATATTACTATCTATGCAAGATTGCAACACAAATTGTTCAGAGTAAAACAGCCCACTAAAGTTTTTGTTAAGAAGTAACTCAATCCTGTTCAATGTTGGATCAAGAATATGACATGATAATGTTATTAGGTTGTATTTATATCCCAGTGCTTGTTAAGACTGAAACAGATCAGTTGAAGGTTTGTAATGGGTTCGCTGCAGGACGATATGGTTTCGAATTACGCAAGATAAATTTCCAGTAGGTGAATAACGGATTATTATTAAAAGTACTCATTGGTTTGAAAAGTTTAACCTGAAGTTTAAAAACACTGGTTACTTCCGAATGAGCAATACTAAACACACAGTTGCCTACTACATTACAATTAGTTTCGTAGATTGATTATTCGCCACATTAATGATTAGTTATCCTTTGAAACTCACTTTGAAGTACTTACATCCTATGACAGCATCCTGTTATATTAATGAAATTATAGGGACATTAAAAGTCTAATCAATTCTAAACCTTCAGGTACAAAGAGTATTATGAATCCTAGTACAACAAAAGAAGTAGGAAAAAACCTATTCAATTACTAATTGTACGAGTTTGTGTGTGAGTTTGGACAAACCAAGCAATTATTCTTTTTTCAAAATGGTTTTATTTTGACTGACATTTTGAGAGATATGAACTATGGAAAGTGTTTCACAGATCCAGCAAATCAATCGACTATTCTAATGAAATCTTTGATAGAGTAGAATATGAAGTATATTTCATTTTAATAAAAAGGTATCGAATTCATAAATATATCTTTGAACACAAACCATAATGGTATTAAACTCTAGAGTCATATTTATACTTTAACTTGTGGTAGTAGTGATCACATTATCGACGTATCGTATTTTCTTGAACAAACTGTTCACAATCATCCAATCATTAAGTGAAGTGTGGTGAACAAAGTTTAATGGAAACCTTGAACAGGTTTCTGACTCTTGTCATTCATCAAAAAGTTGTATAGTCATTCCATGTAGAAATCAGGTTTATGTAGGCATTTTCTCAACTGCATTTTCGAGCATCAAAAACTGGAAGAACGATCTATGTTTACTAGTTCTTGGGAACTTGTGATCACAGAGTATCTCTAATCTTAAGTTTATGGTAATGTTTATGACAACAACATTAGTTTGCATCTCGTAAGGAGAACCAATCCCCCCCCCCACAGACGAAAGTACATCCTGGTAGTAATTGCCGACTGCTTTTAACCATGTAACATCACATTGTTTATTATTTATTGATCAACCAGATGTAGATTTTTATTTAAGAAAATGGAAGAAAAACTAACTAACTACCGAAACCGTACAGAACCTGAACTAAAAAATGAATGCGTACGAGTTGTTAAAGCCCTTAATCGTTCAATTAAACAGATATATATATATATATATATATATATATATATCGAGTGAATGAAATATAGTAAAGTAGGAAATCTAGTCTAATCAGAAATGAACGTGTGAGATTTCATAATGAATATGTATAATTGACTGGTCCGTCAGTAATGACCAACGTTATATTTGTCTATTCTTTTGGTGTTAATCAAATTTTACTGACCAGATTCTAATGTGACCACAGTCAGCAGCAACGTGGAAGTTGGTATGTACGTCCATCAGTTCAAGTTGCCATACCACATTAGCACAGAGAGATGTGATTTTCAATTCAAATACCAGAATGACAGAGGTAGTAGCAGTAACCACAAGTGTAACTGACTTAATATCGTGTGCGAATCAATGGTGAAATTTCAGACTGTGGAGCTGTGTGATACGGGTTAGAACCCAACAACGTGCATCGGTATTTTTAGGAATGCAGGTACGCTTTGCGAACGTGTGTCAACTAACATGAAACATGTGTCTAAGGTTTCTTGCTAACTACTTTTAACCACCTAATGTATATGCCACAGAAACAGAAAGCTATAGAAACTGGACCATTCAAAAATCTGTACCACTGTCAATAATAGTAGCAAACCGAAAATAAGTAATTTAAAATAATTAGTCCCTTTTATAAATTTTGATAGAACAATGAGAAGATATAGTTGATCTGAAAAATGTAATATATTAGCGCTATACATTTCAAACAATAGCTTATTGTTCTATAATAAAAAAATAATTAAACAAAATGGTATGTATAATACTGTCTCTAAATGATTTTACTTATCGATTTGGTGATATAATAGACAATTACACAAATCTGTACAATCTTTAATTATTTTCTACTCATGTACTCGGTTATTGAAAACAATCAATATTCAAAAAATACACCCGCTACTCCAACATTTGATGATCACAGTGGAAAACATATGGGTACAATTAGACGAAATCAAGGTAACCCTGAGGATCAGCCATAAAGAATGAGAATGTGAAGCGTCACAATTATGTTCTTACTAGTAGTTTTTAAAACTTCAAAACAGTGGTTTGCAAAAAAAATTTCAGCCGATTCTGATTGAAGTTACGAGGAAACATAGCAGTTCCCAACATTCTCCCTCTTGGTATTATTTGTATGCTGAATTTTAAGGGTTCGGCTATTGCGGTTTTTCTGGATGCAGTTCTCTGTGTTCAAATAGTTCTAACTCTCCGGCATCAGTTCATTTCTGACCACACAGTTTATTGTTGGTTTCATTTTAAAACGGTTTAACAGCAAGTCTCATGCCAAGTTCATTGGTGGTGTAACTATCACTTTCACATCAACCATGTTTTAGTTAGTTTACAAAAAACCATAAAACAAAACATTCTCACATCCCATCTAATAACCTAAAGTCAAACAAACATGCAGAAAAGTTAACAAACACAATCAGGTAAACACTAACAAAAACCTATGGAGAATGAACAACCGATAAAGTCATCAAGATATAATAACCTTAAATCCAGTTACAATCTTATCAGCTATATGTTAGCTTCAAGAATACTAGCATCGCTCATGTTATACACAACAGAGGTGCTTTGGAGACATTTATATCTTTCACTTCTTAAGTTCATGCGATTTTTTGATAAATATTAAACAAGGTTAATTTTGAGTAGTACACTATTCTATTCTTTCAAACTAAATAATAAGTCCGAATCATATTTAAATGTTCCTCAAAACATTTATTTTTCGTTGAAAATACAATCATTTTTTTTTTGAAAACTATATTCTCAAACTGAATATAAATCAAAGACACACATGGCTTAAACATAGAATCTAATAAGGAGAAAGTGTGTCTATTGAAATAGCAGACAAACGGATACAGAATAATAAAATAATTGATTATTTGGTGAATTTTATGCAACTGTTACACTTCCTACAGTTACGAAATCTTTTAGACATGTTCGTCTACCGCATGCTCCGATTATGCTACGTAAATGAAAAAAAGAAGCTTAAGACACACCATATATACCCAAAAAAGTTATTTCTTGATCAATACAATACAATTAAGCCGAGCGATGAAGAAACTTGTTGTTTGCAATCCACGTGATTATTATCATCTAACAATAAATCCGAGAGATTTCACACATAAATAGATAACAACGAAAATTTAGAACATTGTGAACAAAGTAATTCATTTCAATTTTTTCCATTGTTTGACAGAATAACAGGGTAAAACCAATAGTAATGGAAAATTGCTCGAGTAAATACAAAGGAAACTAGTCAAGAAGTGATGAAATGTTTGAGATTTAGGAAAAACGATGAATCAATCTGGATGAAAATCTTCTATGGTCTACAGTCACGACTCTTAACATTCAAAAAACTCTGACCAAGTATTCACCATTTTCTTAGACAACTTATACAGTCACTAGTCAGTGGTTTTAAAACCAAGTGGTATATTATAGGACCTAAGCACTTCGATCTTTTTTGCCTATTCCTGATCACAGTAACATCCCTGTGTTACGATAAACTATGATCCAAAATGTGTAATACATACATCTGCAACCATTGTTAGATAAAGGTTTACAGTCTGGTTTATTCGAAAAATAGATAGTTTTTGTTAAATACAAAAAATAGTGACAGGATCATCAGAAACCAAGGAGTGCTAGTACTGGCTATTTGAAACAGATCATAATAGTGTAAACACTGATTCGTTAATATATCTAATTTGACAGTAATCGCTTTACTTCTGCAAATCGACAAACTGAAAATGCAAATTAATGTACCAGCTGATAAACAGAAAACCATGAAACAGAGCATATCGGTAAAGTACCACATATCTGACCAACCATCATACCGATTGCCATTAGAAGTAATAATATTCATGGAGCGATCTAGGTTAGACCAACATCCAAAACCTGGAACCATTGGACTGGTATTTTGTCTTACTAAGCGACTCCTCAGCAATGCATACCCATGATAATAATAATAATAATGACAATAATAAAAATAGTAATAATAATAATAATAATAGTGCACATAGATTAACCTTAGCAGTATCATTTAACCGTTGCAGTCGTAGCAATGTTACAATATCAGCATTGGCTAACTCTAATGCAACATCCAGTGGTGATTTGCCATCATTATCTGCGATCAGCTGATTAGCTCGTCGACGCAATAACAAGCATACCAGATGAACGCGACCAAATCGACATGCATGATGCAGTGCAGTTCGACCTTGATTATCTTTAATATCAATCTAAAATAAGAAAAGTACAGAGAAATGCCAAAAATCAATTTTCAAAATATATATTCCCTATAGAATGACTTTAAACATTTCAACAAGATTTGGGATCCTAAAAAGAATACATTGTTTAATTCTTAATAAAATATAAGTTTCAAAACAAACTCGAAGTGAACTTTTCGTTTATTTCAAACAACATATTTTCCGAATGATTTTGACAGCGAGGGAGAGTCTTCAATCAATGAAGTTAGATGGATTATGCATAAGTATAAAATAAGTTTCACAATAGACAAACAAATAGAATATCAATATACATAAATATGGATCACCTAGACGTTAATATGAATTATTTTGAAAGAAACTGAATTTTTTTCATTCAATGCAAATAATCAAAAAAATAATATGAAATTCGTAGGCTTGATAGACACATATTTACTCTTTTTTTTTTAGATCATATTTCATATTTTTTTTGTAACAATCTATTTAATTCTAGTTGAACTCAATTTCTTTGTAATTTGTTTTTTTTTCTTTCTCTAAACTCTTAACTGTTATCATAAATTATGAGTATTCTTCATTTGCAGATTTTGTTATTGGTGCAAGTAGTAGATTTGAGTAGTTCTTTACTTTTAATTAAATTCTATATGATCAATTTTTCTTGCTACTAATGATTCTATGATGATTTCTACTTGTTTGATTTTTAACTTGTCACGTTCATATGAAACAATAACAACTTTAATTGATGAACACTTGTATAGCTAAATAAATATTTGCAAATCAAAATAATTATTTTCCCACTTACGTCTGCACCATTTAACAGTAAAAATTCACATGCTGCTATAGAACCAATACGCGAAGCCAATATTAATGGAGGGTAATTGTTGATAAACGTTTCTCCAGTTTTTACTCTTCCGTCTGGACTAGCGCCTCCAGTAAGACCGGATAAAATAAGAAGTGGGCAACCAAGTTGAGCACCGAAACTAACTAAATAGTCAGCAGCAATTTTCTGTTCAGTAAATTTCGATTGTACTACTCTTTGATCATGTTTCATGCTTGACTTGTTTTTTTCATATAAAGTCTTGATAGTACTAGTTAGTTCGTCTAAAATTTTAAAAGAAAATTTATAAACTATTTAAGAAATAATTAAGAAAATGAAATTCACTGGACCATTGATAATGTTTCGCTCAAATATTGCAGCATTCATGAATAATCAAACAGTTTAGCAACCACTTAAGATTGGACTACTGTTACACTGTACTTTGAGATTTGGTAATCGTTCTAAAGTTTTTGAACCCTAATCTTTCCGATAACTGCTTATACTTCTACTACCTCTACTACTATGGGATTTGAATTGACAATTGCATCTCTGTGCTAATGTGCTATGGCAAATTGAACTGATGTAAGTACGTACGAAGTACGATGTTTGGGTTGACTGACTAATCCTAGAGTTAAGAAAAGTATATTTAGGTTTCTTCTCAAAGATGCTACACAGTTACCACTATATACTCATTCGAAATTCAGCACTTTCTAACCTAAATCAACTTATATTGTAGTCTCTCCGAGTAAACTGGTTCTCAAAAGAGTTATTAGTTGAATAAGTACGCTTACTTAGGAGAGCATATCGACGAATATTATTTTTAGTTAATTTCTTATCTGGACTACTTGTTGGTAATGAAGATGAAGATTTGGGTTGATAGATAAGTTCCGGAAAATCCTGACGCATTTGAGCACGTGCCTCTTGCCAATTTTCATATAGTTGTTTAATCCACTGAACAGCTTCAGTTGAATTACATACTTCTTCTTCAAGTGGCAAAGAATGACGAGCAAATTTAAAACGAACCCATTTAGCCTCAATCCAAGCTTTACGTTGCTCAAACGGTGTGTCAGATGATAAACGAGGAAATTCGGATGCATAACGTTGCCAATTTGATTCGAGAATTTTATTCACAGGTTTGTTACCTAGATTAAACATCACATGTAATAATTCCGGTTGCCAGTTATCTAGGGTCAGTGATCGGACCTGTGTAAAATAAAGAAATAAAAAAGAGTGAATTGGCATAATAATGCTAACCTAAACGCCAGATAGAAGAAAAAATTTCACGCATCTTGGGTACCACTAACAAACTGAGTTATAATTAAATTTTTATTTTATGTGAATATAAACTATCCAACAAGGACACCAAAAGTCAGTAAACAGGAAAAGATCCGTACATTAAGCATTAAGCAATATTAGTTGCGTGAAGACTAGGAACAGTGATCGGCTAAACAAAAACTAAAATTAGGTAAAATGGAACTCAAGCATACAACCATGTTTGTAACGGTTTGCATTCTACTGCAGCAGATGTCGTATTATGGGAATATGAGTAAATCAACTTGATATTGCCATTTATTCACAAGTTTTGATCAAAATTGGTTACTAACTGGCAGTGGGATTCAGGCATACGGAAAGTCTGATTGGTTTTAGTCACTGACATGAAAAGTAGGAAAATACAAACTTTTACAAACAAAAATCCATACTTATTACACAAACTAGCGGATATCTAAACTTAGCTCAGTGAATAATGCATTGGCGTTCTAGACAAAAGGTACTATGTTTGGGTCTATGGGATTCAGTCTGAGATCCAAGTAAGTCTGAACGACGGGTCCAAAATGGGCCAGAACACGTCCTGAATACCATTGCTAGCCAACTTTACTAAAAACCTAATTGAAACATTCACTATGAATACTAGTGACAATAAATCTATGAAAGTTTGGCTAATAATAATGATAAAGCATTCGACCAGTTTACTAGTTAAATTTGTGTTAAAACAATCTTTCTGATATAATATTTGGGATCAAACCTTATTGATAAATGTATTCTCAATGCAGATTTCTTTTAGCATTATTGTCGCTTGAATTTTTTTATCTTGATTAACAAGAATTGTTTCTCCTAGTTAGAACCCAAATGCTACAATAACTGGTCATGAAGATTCAATGCCAATAAATACCAATTGATTTGGCTTTATAAATTAACAAGAAAAAATAACTTGTATTGTATTTATTCAATTACTGCTATAAATAGCAGGATTCTTAAAAAAAACTGTAACGGTCCTAATTAATCCATTTCTTAAAATCATAAATATTATGAATAAAAGATAATTAGACCTAAAACATTTACAATTGATACACAGTAAATGCATTTCTATCATTCGCATAAACTAAAAAATTCGCTCAAATTTATTCGTAAATAATTAATTCCTTCATCGATCTGTTCATTCACTTTTTAGTATGAAAGGTGATTAGATAGTGTTAAGATTAGACATATCATTTTAAATAGATAAACATTGATGAAGTATAGAAGCCGAAAAAACGCAACTACTGAAAAATGAAAATGATCCTTTTATATTTTCCTGAATGACTAAAGATACACCCACTCAATTTGCTACTCATTCTTTACGTCACATGACCAACATGTCACAGAAATTTCTACTTCCAAGAGGTCACTGGAGTAGTAATTATAGGGGTACTTTTAACTATTTAAGTCCATAGATCATATGACGATGCAAGTAAAATATCAGAGAAAAAAATACCAAAACTGTTACATTTAAAAATGTATTTAATCAAGACAGTTTAATTACAATACTGTCTAACCAACTGACTTTTTTAGTTGGTAAAAAAATAAAATAATTCATAATAAATCAAAAAGCTATGTAGATATTATCATGAGACTGCTACAGTAGTTTACGGACCCTGGGAATATCGCAGTTCATACACAAAACACAATGATCAAAGTGAAGGACATCTGTGATACATACGTACTCACAGGTTCTAATTGCTGTGTTATAACCAAGATTATTTCACATCACCTTAAATTCTTAGACATATTTTAGGCCTTTACTAATTTCAGGAAAAGTTATCAATGATGTGCTACATATTTTGGCCCGTCGAAATTGTTTATTAACAAATTATATTGGCATCAGTTACTAAATACAAGAACGTAAAAGACTGTTGCTTCTGTTGAAGTGCCTAAAAATGCTAGCGTTGGATGCTGATAAACAGGGTGATATATGTCGAACAACTGTAGTTATAACAGTAATTCAATATTAAATGAAGCTGAATCTGGTAATAATTAGATACCCAGAGAAAAGTGTAGATCACCAAAAGGTGGAGTTAAAAAATCACATTAGAATGGTATTACAGTATGCACGTGAATGTTCTGAACACCACTTACAAAAGCTGCATTACAGTAAATTTATAACCCGTTTTAGATACCCGGTTTTATCCCAGTGGATTCAAAGAGTAGAAAATGTGTTTAAAACACTTTAATAAGCCCAATTACTGATATATATAGGGGTTGGAATACTCAACTCATTAAACAGGAGAAGCGTATGCACCTAGTTAATAACAATGATAGTCTTCATTCAATTAACCCACCAGCGGTAATTTTGGAGTTAGTGAGGTCATTTGTGAAGAAGATGCAGTCAGTCAGTCAGTCAGTTACAAAGTAGAACTTCGTACGTAAGTACATCAGTCCAGGTTGCCATACCACATTAGCACAGAGATGCAGTTGTTAATGCTAATCCCATAGTAGTAGAGGTAGTAGAAGTATTAGCGTTATCGGAGAGAGTAGGGTTCGAAGATATTATTCAAGAAGCATAATCTAATGAAATAAACTTAAAAAGAGAAAGATAAAGATGATGAAGAATCCAGAAGATCAGTAGTTGAGAGAAGTCAAAGAATGGATGCACCCACGAAAATGCAAACGGTTTTGAGCAATATCATTCAAGGTCTCTAACCATCGATTACTATCATCTCGCAGACCCCAACTACGTAGTCTACACTTACCAAAATGAATCGATTCAGCTGTCCGTGACTTCATGGATTTCTGCCATGTTTTGGTCTGGTCGCCCTTAGCTTTCTTCCAAACTACTCCTATACCACAAAACATAGCTCGATGAGGCAGTCGGTGGTTGGGCATACGTAACACATGTTCCAACCACCTCAACTGATGAGGTTTCAATACCTTACCTATTGATTTGCCATCCCTATCTAGTACCCGTTTGCTAACAACAGCATTGCTTACTCGATAGTGCCAAGATAAACGAGCAATGCTTCGGAGACACCTATGATCGAAGACCAGTAACCAACGAATATCTTTTACTCTTACTGGTCATGTTTAACGGCCATAAAGTAGAACGGAGCGAACTGCTGCGCAGTACACTCGTCCTTTGGTTAGCAGACGGATGTGTCACCTCCACCATAACTGACTCAAGTTCGTAAAAGCCAAATGAGCCTTCTATATCCGCGCTGTGGAAAAGATGCTATATTAGTTAACAATCTTTAAATTCAGTCAGGAAGATAAGTCAAGTATTTTGAAAAGTAGCATACCCGCCGAATTATTATAGCTATTCGAATAATGCTGTGTTGCACGTCGTAGTCAGTAATTAGACGTTTACTTGACAAAATATGGGTGCGGAAATAATTTCATAAAAAAGTGGCAATAAGGATAGCACCAACTTACCTTTGAAATATGAACACCTAAACTGCGATGAACTGCAGCGCACAGCATGCATAATGTCACACCTAGATTGATGCTTGCCCATCTTGCATCTCCTACAGCACAATCAGCACAATAACGATTACCAGCTAAATCAGGCTCACGCCATAACAAAATTCCACTCTTGTTTTTCAACGCATCTTGGTCTGAAATAGATGAATGAGACGCTTGAGATAAAGGGTCGTTTGCACGACTGGTTTGGAATCCTGACATAGAACTAACTGTTGGGCTGTTAGAGCAGTCCAAACTGATTTGAGTTGGGCTGCAAGAAGTTAACAGATCAAGCGAATTGCTGAAATTTCCTTTTACCATTCCATTATTATAACCATGTGTATCACCAGTTTGACATAAATCATGAAAACCAGATCGTAACGTATTAACCCATATTTCCAAATCATTTACACTGATAGCCTGTAAGTAGTGATTTCGATGGCCTGAAGATATTACTTCGAAAACAAATCGACGATCTGCAGAATTATTCAATAGATTCATAGGTTTCTCTCCAGCTGTCAACCGTTTATTTGGTTGAAGAATCCGGGCTGTACAAAATCTAAGATCAGTTACCATAACAGTCCATTGTGGATTAGCTTGAGAAAGTAATTGTGTCAGAAGATCATTATCAGGCTGTTTATTTACAACTCCATTTGTCAAAGAGTCAGTGTTCAGTATAGATGTACAAGCCTTTCGGTTTAATTCCGTGAACACTGAATCAGTCGCAAACTGGAGATCTGCAGATGTCAATCCATGGAAACGTTTACAATAAACTAACTGATTTTCATGTACACGGAACCATCGCCGAGCCCATGAGCGCCAACCTTTCTTTCCACTTCTTTTAAACAAATAACCTTCCAGTCGAGGGTTTGACGGGTTATTTGAAGTCGTAATGGTTTTTTTTTCAACAACTGCAGTTTCTGGTGACTTAATCTTAGTAGGAACTTCAGTATTTGTTTTCTGTTCAAAACTAGTGATTAACTGTTTACATTGTCTAACTAATACTGAAGAATTTTGACTATTTGTCTTGCTGGAACTATTAAATATTAAATCCAATTGTTCTGAATAAGATTGTTGAACAGAAAGTGCCAATATAATCAATCGCATATACGAAATAATATAGTTTGGTCCAATTACTTGACGAAGATGGGATAAGTAGGCTGTTGCTGTCCTTTGGTAAATTTCTTGAGCTTCTTTAACTTGACTGTCGAATACTTGTAAATCCACAGGAGATCGTGATGAAGGTGCTGAAGCAGCACGATTTATAACACTGTCCAGATGCTCATAAGCACGTTGAAAACTTGTTCGTAGATCATAAAATTTGTTTAAGTTATCGTTACTTTTTGACAAAATATGCTCTATATCAGATATTTTAGCGGCTAACTTTCTTGTTTGTTCTGCAAATAAATTTGTTACATGAGTAGCATGATTGAGAATTTTCTGTGTGCCAAAATTATCCCATTCTCTTGATACATTTGAACTAAACGACCACGATTGTTTTTGATCTAAACCCAATCCAATACATTTGGCCAATTTAAACAGAGAAGAGGAAAATGCTTCACCAGTCTGAGGAGAAACAAATGACACGAAGTCTGGTAAATATACAAAAGCAAAAAACTATGCAGCAGTATTATGTCTCCTAATATAATCATTTATTTAAATCAAAAAGTATTCACCTAGCAAATTTTCAATTCAACCTAATGCAACTATTCAACCGAAAATAGATACCTTATAATTGGTTTTAAGTCATATGAATATGTGACCATCAGAGATGCTCTATAACTGCTCTACAAACTACAGCGAAATTCAAGTATTGCAGTCACTAAGTTGAAGTTGGTAAATGGGTCTGTAGACGAATTTGTATCTTGTTTATTTAATACACATACGTTCTAGTATAACTGCAGACCAAAAACACCACCAATAATGAGATAACAAAGAAAAATCAAGGAGAGGAAAATAGAATTTTAAAAATTATTGAACATTAATGTTAAGTTGCAGGTGATACAAGTCCGTTAAAAATACAACGAAAGACTTTCCCAGTCTCTTTCGGTTTTACGAGGAATGTTAACTAAAAGTACAAGATAAACATAGCGTCTAGATATGCCCCTTAACTAAAAGTACAAGATAAACATAGCGTCTAGATATGCCCCATATCTGATACCAAGTTGGATATAAGATGCAACTGATGTGAATTTTGGATGGTTACGGCAATAAATGGAACGCTTTTTGAAATAACTGTTCAAAGATTACAGACTATTGTTTCGATATGAGAATGCAACACAGATAAAGTCTAAATTATGGATGAACTTATTTTTCCTCATTAATATAAACAACAAACTTATTTGCTTTTAACATACATCTAATGTAAAAATTACTTCTAAGAAATGTTACAATAAGTTTATCGACGAATTAGATTGAAAGATGTGTATATTCAGGATAATATTGCACGCGATATCAGAAGACGTTACCGTCAAAATTTATCAACGATAAAGTAGGTAGCCGTCAAGATTCTTCGATTGAAGAGTCATATTTGTCACATTTAAAATGAACACGTAACAAGAAATATATATATATACAAGTCAATGGAATGCTTACAGTAACAGATTGTCGACAAATTTCTTGAATGAGATTATAGTAAGCCCGGATCCGACAAATCTTCAGCTCAGCATGTGCAAGAGTTTGATGCAGCTCAGGTGGATCAGAAAAGGCTTCAAATTTGTTTGAAGGAGAGGCAAACTTGGAAATAAAGTCATCAAGCACAGTGGATGTTTCATCGAAACACTGAACAAAATCTAAACCAGCAGACATGTGATATTTATGAATAATTCACACAGGTATTTGAAAATGAATAAATACAGTTTGTCTAGTAAAGAAATGGAAATAAAATGAAACTAAAATATATAGGTTGGACAAAGTTGCGAATGGACATATAATTTCATAAATGAAGTATCGAATGAAAACACAGGGCTATCACTTGGTAAACTACAAACTTGTTAAATAGTCAACTCACAATCAATGACAAACAGGTCAATTATCTACATTCATACTTTGGGCAGATAGGAATGAAAGCAACAACAATAAGAGCAAGACGACGAAATATAAACAATAAAATGGCAAAAACGTGTTTTTAGAGTGAGATAAAAGCAGAATTCATTTGCATTATTATGACCTGTTTTCACATAGTCTGTATAAGATATAGCGGTTTCATGAAATACATTAATATATTTAAACGCGACTTCCAACAGTAATCGATTGCTTTTTATTAAGTCCCGTTTGATTACATCATCTAATCTATATGATGCATTTTCTGAGCCTTATTGTAATTGAAATAAAACATATATATAGACATATAGTAACTCGGTGTGAATAATATGTAACTCTAGGTTTGTGAAAGCTCTTAAATACATCAGCTGACATAATATTAATCCCAAAAACATTAGTTAACCAAGATAATGTTTACTCTGTGGTTAGTATTTTGAAGAGGGAAACAACAGACAGTGACAAATAATGCAAACTTATTATGAATACATAACTATACCTAATCCAAAGCCTAATAAATACCAGCAGTGATTTTTGTTCTTATCTTACTTTGCAAACCTTAACCTTCCATTTGATGCATGATTTGTTGTCACACTCTGTTTTGTTCCAGAATTATAGACAGACAGATACAACGCAAAACATCGTACGTACTTGCATCAGTTCAGGTTGCCAAACAACCTCAGCACATAGACGCAACTGTCAGTTCAAATCCAAGAGTGACAGCGACAGTAGAAGTATTAGCAGTAATAGAGAAGAGTAGGGTTCGAAGATATGATTCGAGAAGTATAACTTAGTGAGATAAATTTAGAAACAAAAAGATAGAGATGACGAGGAATTCAAGTAAGAATTTGAGGGAACAAAAAGAGTGAATTAATCTGTGCCACTGCTAACGATTCTGACCCATGCCGTTCAAGGTCTCTAACCATTGGTGACATTCGTCTCGAAGATCCCAACGAGGTAGCCTACATCAAACAGTATGACACAATACACCTGTCTGTGACTTCATGGGTTTGTGCCACGTCTTGGTTTGGTCGCCCCTAACTTTCTTCTAGCCTACTCCTACACCACAAAACATAGCTCGTCGCGGCAGTCGGTGGTTAGGCATACGTAACACATGTCCCAAACACCTCAACTGATGAAGTTTCACTACTTCATCTATTAACTTGCCATTCTTACCTAGCACCCGTTTCCTAATGACTGCGTTGCTCACTCGAGTGTCCCAAGATATACGAGCAATGCTTCGAAGACACCTGTGATCGAAAACCAGTAACCTACGAATATCTACTCTTGCTGTCCATGTTTCACAACCATAAAGTAAGACGGAGCGAACTACTGCACGGTAAACTCGTCCTTCAGTTAGCAAACGGATATCTCGCCTTCGCCATAAGTGACGCAAGTTGGCAAAAGCCAATCGAGCTTTCTGTATCCGATCTGAGATTTCGTCAATCACCAGGCCGTCAGCACTGATGAGTCTCCCAAGATAAGTGAAGCGGTCTACACGTTCGGCTACTTCACTCCCTATCACTAGTTCCGGTGAAGTCGCAAACCAATCATTAAGCGAGATTTCGCATTTCGAGGGTGAGAACCGCATTCCGAACATGCTCGCATTGTTGCTTATGGTAGTCAGAAGACTCTGCATTTTGTCAGCGTCTTCACCGAAAAGAACTATGTCATCGGCATATTCTAGATCAGTAAGCGAGTCTCCAGGTAGGAGGTCAACCCCTGAAAAATCTGACGAGCTTAATGTTAACTCTAGGAGGATGTCTACGACAAAGTTAAACAAGAATGGAGAGAGTGGACAGCCCTGACGGACACCACTTGATGTCAGTCAGTCAGTCAGTTGCAACGTAGAACTTCGTACGTATGTACATAAGTTCATGTTGCCATACCACATTATTAGCACAGAAACGCAAATGTCAAATCAAATCCCATAGTGATAAAGATGGTAGAGGTAGAGGGGTCAACAGGTCAAAAGGTATTTTCCCTTATGCCTACAGTTAGTGTACACTATAAATAGGTGGTTATCTCAGCATAGTTGCAGTAGTCGGTCACCATTACCTGTTCTATTAGCCGCGACATCATACGATCCATCCAGGTGTCTTTCCTTTTCACTTAGTCTACCTGCTCGAGCATTAAAGGCACCAGCCATTATAACTATATCAGAGTGACTAACTTTTTGGAGGAGGTCCGAAAGCTTTCCGTAAAACTTATCTTTTATATCTTCTGAACTGCAGTCAGTGGGAGCGTAGGCAGATACGACGAAGAGACAACGGAGAGTTTCTTTATGTGTACGAATCCGTACCTTCCCGTTCAGTCAGACGGCGCACAAGCGACTATCTACTGGGATCCAATCTAGAAGAGCTAATTCTGTGCCCTAGGACACAATGCTATACCTACGCCAGCGAGGTCACGGGAGGCAGCATCAAGGCTACCGGATACACGAAGAGTACATCAAGCTGCTTCTTTATTTTGATAAGGTGAAATCAAATTATTGATTTTACTAGGATCCTGTATGCGCGTTTCCGAGACGCAACATACATCCATGGCGCGAGGTTCTTAAGTCCTAGATAATGAAGCCTGTTTCCTTATTTGACACAATGTTTGGACATTAAATGCTCCAACATGTAATTTAGAACAAGGTTTCAAGAGACCAGGAATAATGTTTCGTGAACTCGCATCGTTTGCATTAGCGGTACGGGGTGATAAAGGAATGTGAGAAGAGTTAGTCGGTGTCGGTCTTGGAGACCTGGGAGCGTGACCGCAGAGCCTGAGGGACAACTGCGTCAGGCCGGTCACGCACGACCTTTTTTACGAGCTTTTAGTGTATCAGCTCCGCTCTTTTTAAAGCCCTTATTGGGCAGCCCTTACCACCGGGGACGGAAACCCAGGAAGTAGGGTGAGGTGTGACATTTTTAGAGTCGACCTCTTCTAACCCCTTCCTTCCGGATGAAAAGGCAGCATTGCTGCAGATGCTGGTTGTCCGAGAGAAACACTTTACTGCCCTCATATATCTCTGCAGTCGGCAATACGACTTCGCCCTCAAACATTTGTAGCTTTTCTTAGCCTCATCGTTCTCCAATCAACCTAACTGGCATGATAGACACTGCCACAGAACGTCACGATCCACAGAGTCGAATGCCGCCTAAAGGTCTAGGAAGAAAACTATTGTAGGACGCCTAAATGTATGTCTGTGTTCCCTACCATGCCAGTTAGGTCGATTGGAGAACGATGAGACTAAAACCAGCTACCCAAGGTCTGAGGGCGAAGTCGTACTGCTGACTGCAGAGGGGTGTGACAGCAGTAAGGTGTTTCCCTCAGATAACCAGCATTTGCAGCGATGCTACCTTCTCACCAGAAAGGAAGTGTTAGAAAAGGTCGACCCTAAAAATGTCACACCTCACCCTACCTCACGGATTCCTGTCTCCGGAGGTAAGGGTGACCACCAAGGGTTTTCAAGAGCGGAGCTAATACTCAAAAAACCCTTCATAAAAAGGCCGTGCGTGACCGGCCTCAAGCAGTTGTCCCTTGGGTTCTGAGGTCACGCTCCCAGGTCGTTCAGACCAACACTAACCTATCTTCCTTTTCAGGTTCCTCAAGAAACAATCTTCCACGGTGTGGGCAGCCGGGAAGTGACAACCGCCCTCATACCCGTAACAGCACACGAGACCAAATCGGTCAAAATCAAATCCTTCCTACACCCCGTAATACCTCTCTTATCTCCACGACTGACTTCAACACCTCTCGTTTTGTTTTTCTAAGCTTATCACACTGAATCATACTTCTTGAATAATATTTTCTAATCCTAACCTCTCCGATTACTTCTAATACCCTTACTACCTCTAATACTATTGGATTTGAATTGACAATTACATTTCTGTGCTGTGGTATGCCAACATGAATTGATGTATTTACGTACGAAGTTCTACGTTGCACCTGACTAACTGACTGACATGGTAGAACATTCAGGAACATAGGTTCCAGCCAATATAGCTCGGTCGGGTCATCACGATAGGCAAGTCCGACCACCACGTCAAGGTCGCAGCTACGGTCGTAACATATGTAACGTTTTCCCTTTACCGAGGGCACTGAGTCATAACCGAACTCATGTGCTACTGGTCTGTAGGTTGACTAGATGGTCAATCGCAACAAGGTCTGTAAACTAGACTGAGACAATATTGCTTCCTCTCAGTGGTACACGATTCAATGACGTGACAGCTTAGTTATACACAGACAATAGCTCTAGAACATTTGTTATCGAATATTCACTGTTTACTACAAACCTTCGAGCTTATCTCAGTGGTAGAACAACACGCTATGAACTGCTGATCAGTATTGAAAATACTTATTTAATTGTCTTGCAGAGAATTACCGAATTTTAACACAGTTATAAGACTCTTTCACCAGCTAAACAAGTTTGTAGAAAGCTACTAGAAAGAAACAAGTTATGAAGTCAATGAATACTCGAGTGAACCAATCTTGGAGACATAATCTAGTAAGTTAGTTATCTGTGATCAGGAAGGCTACTACATGATCACAAAAAAATTTCAAACCCGAGGTATTTTTCACACAGCCATGAATTGGTTTTAAAGATCGTCACATGTCAGTTAACACGAAAATGATTCGTAATATAAATTTCATCTCTCCAGTATTTAATTTCAACGACATAGTAAAAACACAATTAGATCAGCTGCGGAATGAAAACTCTTTATGCCGTAAAAATAAGAGTTGATTCCTAGAATTTCGTTAGCACCTAGTCTATACAGGTGACTCAAATTGTTCAGTTTTAAATTCTAAAAGATGTTTACAAGTGAATTTTTCGTCTTCCCCCAAGAGGTAAGCATAATAATCAAAAACTGAAAGATTGATAACGTTGCTAGCAATGCAACGCTTACTGTGCACCCTTGTGGAGAACACAGGCTTCAAATAAGAACGGATATTACTTCAGGGGATATCCAACTTCATTTATGACACATGCAAACTAAGCACACCATATAAAAAACGAAAAACAGGAACTCTGGTGTGAATTTGTCTACATTTATGTTTTCCTTTACATAAAAATCATAAGCTCTTCATAAGTGTATGTGTAACGATCTCAAGGTCGTTTCCAGTTACTCTTTAGCACATGTACCTGTCATTAAATTTAATTATTCAGAGCCACACCACAAACACTCTTTACACATACCACAAGATTTACATATTCGTGTGGAGCTTTAACATGAACAGATTAACAAATAATTATTATTTAAAGCAACTGTTACGTACATGAAGACCCTGTAGCATCTCACTGAGTTGTATGGGCGCCTTAGGAAATCTAATACTCAATACCCAATATATTTTTCACGACTTAGTACGGACCAGTTGATTTCTTTGAGCTCGATTCTTGTTTGTTCGGTTCAAATCCATGTATCTAAATGTATCTAAACGACAGCAGTCTGGTCGCTCGGCGGAACCAAATGTAGTCATTTGGATGTTACTTATGAATGTGTACGTCAGGTGTTCTGAATGATTCCTCCTATTTCATGGCAGCACAGTTGCTGTAAACCAGTAACTATCACGTCACCAGGATAGGGGTTAGTTAGTGTGTGGCATAATAGGGGGTAAATTCTACTGCTAATGAGAAGACCGCAGAACGAAGAAACCCAGTAATTAAGTATATGCCAAATACCTGGAACAGCATCAAAAGAACAAGAATCAAATGCAAAGAAACCATCCATTTTATACTGGCTCGTGGGGGAGATATTGGATTGAACTGTTAGTGATGACAGAAGTGTAAGTAAGGGAGAAGAAACAGGGCGTAAAAATGAGATAGTATATGAAGAGCTTTCTCAAAACGGAGATGATAATCCGTATGTGAGTACGTACTTGTCAAGTTTCTTCTTGAAGCTATACACTGAAGACCCGTGGTCACCTCAGGCTGTGACAATCCTTAATGATAAAAAGAGTGTGTTCTCTTTTTTATGGGCGGCTTTTTGAGAATTACCGTGATAATTACCGTGAGCTGTGAATCAGGTTTTATAGCTGCTCTTATTACTGACGTAAATGATGGGATTAAAACTGTCTGGTAAGTAGGGTTTGATTGTGATGTTAGAGCATCATTTAACCGATGATGCAAACGTTCTACATTTTCGTAAGCCTCAAGACAAAATGCCGAGCACCTTATTCTGGACGTAGCATGGAAGAGGTTCTATTCATCATCGTTTAGGGACTGCTTCTCCCATGGTTTCATGACCGATTCGTGTTAATTCAAGAACTGTGATGGTGAACTTTCACCTATTGTTTTTCTTTGGAAATAACTTTCGATTCCTTTATGGCGTTTCGTACGATATACTTCGTAGTGCTCGAGTTGGCATGCCACGACAGCATGGCTCGTATCCACAGTCTGAAGATTGCGCTCGTAGGGGATCGTACCATAAGTAAAATGCGGACGTAGGACGGAACCAAATTCTGCGAGAGAGCCAGAAACGACCAGTTCGAAACCATGCGTTTGCCAGAACATTCAAAAGGAAAACATCAACTGAGTGCATTAACAAGAGTGTGTGTGATCAGGCCAGCTTTCACCAAACTTGACTGAAGTCAACGGTACCAACAGGGTGATGGTCGTAGGCATAGGCTCAGGATACAAAATGAAAGAAAAAGAGAAAGGTGTAGCATACATGTAGTACGAGGATAGGGTACTATCACGTTTCCGTTGTTGCATGGGTGGTTACTCGAGAAAACGTACAGGTAGGCTTTCGCGGCGACCGGAACGCGAGACGGTAGTCTCGTGCGTACCTTGTGAGCGAGCAATCTCATCCGAAATCAAGGACGGCGTGGTCTGTTGATCTGAATGTGAGCCCGGAGTCTCATTCGTATATACTGCACATGGCGCCTGCCGTTGACTGGGACGTGAGAATCAGGTATTGATGCATCTAGCGTGGGACATAAATTAGCTTTAAGGATCCCGCTAGTAGGTTCGATAGGTCTAGCATTGGTTCCCGAATTAGCAATCGTGGCACCGTCATCGACGTGTGCTGGCTTGAGACGATCAATGCTGACCACCTCGACGCGGCCATGTCGAGCAACCTTGAAGGTCATTTCATGACGAGAAATCAAGTGAAAAAGTCCTTCGTAAGGCTGTTGCAAAGGTTTGCGTACCGAATCGACTCGTATGAAAACATGCGAATAGGCAGATAACTCTCGAGGGAGAGCGACCTGTCGATGTTGAACTCTAGTTAACAACGGAGGCAGTGCTCGCATAAATTCACACAGTCTTTGGACATAGTCTGATTTTTTGAAGTTATCATTTCTCCGTGGTGTGAAAAATTCCCGAGGGTGACGCAATGTCGTGCGGTAAGCTAATTCAGCTGAGGAACATTGAATATCTGCTTCTAAGCTCCTTTTGATACCTAATAGAATGAGCGGCAAGGTTTCATAGCAGTTAGTGTTCTCGTGTGCTCGAAGAGCACTTTTAAGTTGGCGAAGAAACCTTTTAGCTAAGCCATTAGAAGCTGGGTGGTAGGCGATAGTGCGTATGCACTCCATACGAAGCAGCCAGGTTAGCGAGGAGAATGATAAGAACTGGAACTGTTGTCCTCGGTCAGTTGTGACAGTCGGGGGGCAACCGTAATTCTCTATCCGTCGTTCTTTGAAGAAGTGAGCAACTATTTCCGTCGTAAGTGATGGGGATAGCTTGAGGACATCTTGTGAAACTATCGATGCACGTGACTATGTTATCATACCCATGCGATGGTGGCAATGGTCCTACAATGTCAATATGAACATGACCGAAGCGAGCATCAGGCGTAGCAAATGTGCCGATAGGGGCGGCTACGTGCCTGTGCATTTACGATCGTTGACACTGTAAACATTGCTTTACGCACATACATAAATCTTTATTCATGGAGGGCCAGACGTATCGTGCAGCGATGAGTCGTAAAGTGGCTGCGATACATGGGTGAGAAAATCCATGAAGGACACTGAAGACGAGACGACGATGAGCAGAAGGTACAATGTGTCGGAGTAAACCAGTAGAATTTTCACAAAGAATAGTACCTGTGGTGGTAGCTAATGGTACTTCCGGGCACTGAAGGGATGTAGATTGTTGTGCTTCTGTATAAGAAGGATCATTTCCTTGGGCAGCAGCCGTAGCAGGAAGATCGAGCACTGGCAAGGCAATTGCATTTACTTGAATACGTGACAGAGCATCGGCAACATTGTTTGACTGGGCTTTAATATGACGGAGGTCTGTCGTGAACTAAGATATATAGTACAAATGTCTGTACTCACTTGGTCAGACTTGGTACGTAGAGCATACGTTAGAGGCTTATGGTTGGTTGATAGGATAACACTACTACCTTCTACTGAGCGCCGGAAATCTTTGGTGGCGCAGTAGGCTGCTAGAAGTTCGCGACCAAAAGCGTTATATCCTGTCTCAGTGGGAGTGAGACGTCGTGAGAAAGATTTCAGAGGTTGCCAACTTCCAGATATGTTTTGTTGCATAACGACTCCTATAGCGAAATCAGATTCATCAACCGCTATACTAAGCGTGTCTGATGGGTCAGGACGGACGAGGAGCTGGCTTCAGCTAAAGCGTTTTTATCTCAAAAATTGGTGTACGCGTGGCATCGCTCAAATCTAATTTACGTGGATTACCGCGAAGTAAGCCGGTTAATGATCGTAACTGCTCTGCCGCGTGAGGAATAAGACGTCGGTAGAAGTTAACCAAACCGAGAAAAGCCTTCAGTTCCTTTAGTGAAGACGGCACAGTGTACTCCATGATTGTACGTACTTTGTCTTCACAAGGTAGAATGCCCTCATGCTTAATGATCTGACCCAAAAACCTTTTTTCTGCCTTGCCCATTTCACACTTCTCTGGGTTAAATACTATTCCATTATCCGAAAGGCGTTGGAATAAGAGCGTAAGATGTTGATAATGTTCATCTACATTTGATGATGCAATTAGCAGATCATCGATGTAGACGTGAAAAAAAATCGAAGTCTCGTACTATGCTATCGATAAACCTTCGTAAAGTTTGAGCAGCATTCCGTCATCCGAACGGCATTCGTAGGAACTCAAAAAGACCAAAAGGAGTCGTGATAGCAGTTCTCTCGATATCTTCAAGAGCGACTGGGATCTGATGATATGCTCGTACCGGATCAATCTTAGAATAGATAGTCGTGCCCTTAAGAGATGCTGTGATTTCGTGTATGTGGGGGGTGGGATAGCTGTCGAAATGTGTTGCTACATTGAATGCTCGTTAGTCGCCACATGGCCGCCAACCTATCCCATCCTTTTTGCGAACCATATGGAGTTGTGATGCCCATGGACTGTGAGAAGGACGAACAATACCAGAAGCTAGTAAATTGTCAGAAGCATGTCTGGCGAAAGCTAATTTGTCTGGTGCCAGTCGGCGAGATCTTGCCGTGACTGATGGTCCGAAGGTGACGATGTGGTGTACCACACGGCGAGTCACCGATAGATTATCCTCGAGTGGTTAAGTTAGCTTAGAGTATAGAAATAAAATTTCTCTCTTTCCCACTCCAAAAGTTCAAGAACATACTGAGACGTTGTAGTGTGTCGATTTAATGCGTTTTCGATAGCTGTCTTTATATATCAAAAGATGAACTCGTAGTGATGAATACATTTATTCGGGACACACCACAAAGCGAAGCGGAGAAGCGAATTGGAGAAGGCTAAGAGCCAACTCTTTGGATTACAACGCGAGCGAATGGGCGAAGTGAATTGGAGAAGGCAAAGAGCCAACTCAAAGAGATAGAACATGACTAAGAATATATAGTCAGACAATAATAAGACAGACATATGACAAGCGAAATAGATATGCACAAACATGAATAAAAGCGACGAATGATTGACAAGGTCAAAAGCAAGCGATACAAATCATGTCAATTCATGGGAATATTAAGAGATTAACATTGAAGCGAAAAGGATGAGTAAGCGCGTAGGCGTAAGCAATGCTCAGTCGTACAAGCTCATACAAACCAGATAATACAAAATACCAATGGTACATATTAGTTGTTGCTATACAAATGGCTTGGTTAAATAAATTAATCGAAAGGTCTTAACCAAGTTAGATGTAAGCGAACTGAAATGTATGTAGAGGCACTACAACGTATCAAGAGGTTAGCATCGAAATAAGTATCAGGCTTTCAATTCAAACCTTAGTAAAAGCACCTCAATTGAATCAATCTTTGTCAGTTATAGGATAAGTGTCTTAGAGGCGGCATTCTAGTGACTTAGATCATCCTTAAAACTCCTTGAAATCCCTCAAAATACTTAATCAAGCTCTTTCTCAACACAAAACCTTAACTGTATTACCTATATGCTAATGGCACAATATAGCCAAATGGATCACAGGAACACTTATTATTTACGAGTGGTTGTCTTCTGGGTCTGGCTACCATCTAGAATGGTTCAAGCGGCTTAACCTGATTCCTTCAAACAGCCACCTGCAGTGATCTTAAAGACTCAGGCCAGTATTTAGTCAAAATTTCCCAGTTTTCCTCGTTTAGTTGTAAGAAATACTCAAGTTCACATCTTCAGAGATTGGTTGCCCGTCATCACAAGACAGAGTAGAACACTAGGCAAAAGCTTCTCCGATCCCACCTACAAATGTTCCCACAATTTTTATTCTTGTGTTGCCACGAAAACAGGTATTCAGTTTTGGACATTTGACCTTGAGCTCTTACAAGTTTCAGCTCTACCCCTGCAAACTGAATTTTATCAATCAAACCCAGATTTTGGTTATTTTTACCACTAGATCATCATGGAGCAAGTGAAGAATAGCCTAATAGGCTTGTTTGCAGGAATAAATGGTAGTTTTTCTTGCTTTATTAATTTGTATCATAGGCGGATTTGCTTCTGTATATGTTGGACAACCATTAGATACCATCAAAGTCAAGATGCAAACGTTTCCGGAAGTTTACCAGTCAACATGGCAATGTCTCCGGGTAACAGTTGTAAAGGATGGGATTGTACGTGGACTCTATGCCGGAACTGCTCCGTCACTTGCTGCAAATGTTGCTGAAAATGCCGTGTTATTCTGCGCTCTTCCACCTTCTGAACATTTGATAGCCAGTCTCTGTGGAGTAGACAGGAAAAATCTTTCAGTACTACAGCATGCTCTTGCTGGGAGTATGGCAGCGTTTTGGTCGAGTTTGGCTCTTTGCCCAACTGAACTAGTCAAGTGCAAAGTTCAGTCAATGAGAGAAATGATTGAATTAGGACATATAAAGGTCGATGGCAAACATATGTAAGCATATTTATGCGTCTCTGTTCAACGTGGTTGCTATGCTGTACCCATTTTTATACCGAAAACATTGTAAAATAAGTTCCGTTAGAAGGAAGCTAGGGAATTCCATCTCAACAAAACGATGAGTAAATTGTACTAAGTTTTTTTACATTGTGTCCACACCTACTAACTAGTTTTGTTTTCCATTCCGACCCAAGTGCTTTGCACATGATGTGTTACTCGTTTCTAGAGCTATTTGCGCAACTCGCTATTGAATTACAGGTTTATGTACTCATTTTTGAGCATCACTTTTTGAATGTGTAGGTGATATTAATCGGTTGATAGGACCACAATAAAGTTCGGTCCTGCAACTCAGTACTTGAAAGTTTCGTGTTAACAAGTTAATCGTCATCCTAGTGGGTGTGATAACCAATTATCTCCTCATACTTATCCTGATCCTGATAAGGGTAGAGAAAGGACTAAATTACCAAATTAGATGTCTAGTGTTGGTAAAGATTCAAAATATCAGCTTATTTCTACCGTTACAGTTCACTTTTAATCGTGTATTCTGGGTTTTAGCTACTGATATCTGCTAAATAAAAGTGCCTATCCAGTAAGTCGGCATCTGCCTATACTTCTTACACCAAACACATGACTTAAAAATATTGTGAATAGATCACAACTGCCAACATGATGCTATTCCATTCCTCGCCACATGCTGAGATTAGATGCTGCTACATCGCATGAGTTATACGTTCAAGGGGTTCGAAAATTAAACTGCTAAACTTTTCAGACTCATAATCAAGTGTACTGATTTCAATTGCAGACAAATATATACAGGAGACTTGATCGTCGTGTTGCAAATTTAAAAATCACTTTATGTAGTTTGATTAAAATATATTTGGAATGTCTTCTTAACCTGTTTATAATAATTGCGGTCCATATTTTGGTATCAAAGCCTGGGATCATTTACTAAGTTGTACACAGATTTACGTATTTATTGAGTTGACTCGTCTAAATTTCAGACAGTAGATTTTTCTACGTTCCCAAAAGTATGTCATTTATATTTCAGGATATCTTTTCCTGTGTTATAGTTCAAAATATTTGGCAACCTAATTTCCCTTGCCAATAGTCATGGACGTAGGTTACCACACATATTTTAATTAATCTGATGTTACATAAATTGTCACGAACTCCTCATTCCTTTTTATTTCCTGGAACCGGTTTTAGTTTTTCGCTATTTTTATTCATTTAACTGAAAACAATCATTAGTATATTATTTAAATGCTAGTCTATCGACTAAGCGTTTTTTCTTGATTAGAATGATTGTTTTTGGTACTACTGGACCATTTAGCAAGTACAAATAACCTTACCTACTTATGCTTATTACCTCTAATGGAACATAGGCCGCAGACTAGCATATGTACAGATAACCATTGAAAAGCAAATACTCGTATTATTTCTCACTAATTATGACCTTACTTTGTAGAGTAAAAGCGTTGATAAATTTTTGTCGTCTTCTCATTAAAACTATTTAACTGATTCAGTATATGGTAATGACAATGCATAATATATTTTTCAATTGTTCCTTTATCAGAGTCAGTACTACTGCATTGCTTAGCTGATATGTTGTACTCACATATTGCCATTTGCGCTACTGTAATTTCGTTTTAGAGGCCCTTGGGCAGTGACAAAGTCAATATACAAGGAAAAAGGTTTTAAAGGATTTACTTGTGGTTTGAGTGCTACATTTGCCAGAGAAATGCCTGGTTATTTCTTCTTTTTTGGTGGGTATGAGGCATGCAGGACACTGATGACTCCCGCTAATGGACGCAAAGAAGACTTGAGTTCCATCAAAACTGTTATCGCTGGTGGAACAGGTGGGGTTTCACTGTGGTTGTCTATATTCCCATTCGATGTTGTCAAATCTCGCATGCAAATTGGACATCATACTGTCGCGTCATCCTCAACAGCGCATGAAAACGGAGTCAGTAAGCAAAGAAGCATGTTTTCTGTCCTGTTAGACATCAAGAGAAATGAAGGTAACTATTTATTGTCTGATAATCCTATTCTGTTTTACATATATCAACCATTCAAGTTAAGGTGTTTTTTTCTTCACCTATATGCTTGCTGGCACCACATTGCATTAATAACCTGGTAAAACTAAATTTCACAAACATGATTATTTATCCTATTCACCTATTCTAAAGACTAATACCTACCTTCGCACATTATGTGCGACAGTAATGGGTTTCATTGCTACACTAATTTAGCTTAAAAATTTCTGCTATTTTACTCCGACAGTAGTTAATAACCCATAAACCTATCAAGTAAGTTATTTATATGCACATAAATCCTCGGGTTTAAATTGGGTTTGCATTTGATTTTACTATCTGGAACTCTTACTTGAAATTGCTAATTTGGAAATATTTAGTTTTAATTTTCAGGTGTAATAAAATTAAATCTTCCACATTTCAATATGTTCCTGTCTTGCAGGAATTCGTGCACTTTATCGCGGTCTTGGTCCAACAATAGTGAGAACATTCCCAGCGACAGGCGCTTTGTTTCTAGCTGTAGAATGGACTCGTAAAGGTGGCCATTGGTTACTAGGTTGAGAGATTAAATAATATAAATAACCACAACATCTGTCTTTCAACTACTATTATATATATATATATATATATATTGTTTATTTTCTTCGTCACTTTTTGATAATTTTATATCTGCAAGCTCTATTGTTTACCCAGTCGACTTTTCAACCCTTATGCAAATTAATCCATCACAGATAATTCTATTTTCTATGTCTACATGATATACAACTTATTAAGCAAATTTTTAATACTTTTTGTTCTTTTCTTACATGGTAAATTAAATCTCGTCAGTGGTTGTTTTTTGTACAAATCATGCATGTATTATGACGTATGTTATGATTTTTACGATAAAACTGTGTTTTGCGACTGTGCGTTTTAAACTAACATCTATTATCTCAGATATCGCAATTATTAATTAGTTAGTTATCTTTTTGAAACTACTTAAACTGGTATGAATTTACACATTCAAGTTCATTAACCATCCCACTTATCATGTGAGACTCCGCAATACTGCTGGGCTAATGCTGACGAAGTTTCTGCATAGATTCAGAAAGTTCGCTGGGTTTTGTCGCATACTGAGCCACCTTTGGCGTAAGCGAAGCGGCCGTCTACCAACCAGAGGATGGTATACTATGCAACAGTTTGCTTTATAACGTAGCTTTTCTAAGTAGAGAATATTCTTAGGTTGCTATTATTTAATCACAAGTATCTTCGGAGCATTGCCCTCATCTATTAGGACCACTAAGTGAGATATTTTAAAGCCAGATGAAGGGTACTAAAAAGAAATGGTTAACCAATCGATACGTTTGTGGATCTTCAACGACTAAAGTGGTTAGGATGTTTTATGTGTATTCTACGCATTTTCAACCACACTTAACTCTACAAACTCCGCCTGTAGACCATTCGCGGCTACCGCCAGCCCCAAGCCCGGATAAAAGAGGAGGGTTGGAATCGGGGTTGGCGACCCTGTTCCCCAAAAAAACTAACTCGCTAGAAAAAGTTAACAAGAACATATATATAATTCAAATCATATAAACTCTGCTCTGGGAGTTAGAAAGTCTTCATTTAGAAGAGTTATGACGTCTCATCATGAAAGCCGAGTTCCTTCAGAAGTCATGAGGCCGATGCCCCTTCCAAATTGTGGGAGGCCGAGAATCAACTTCCGCCCTCATACCCACAAAAGCGCACGAGGACAAATTGGTAAAAATCAAATCCTTTCTAAACCTCCTAATAACTCTTATCTACACCACTAACTCTTCTCACATTCCTTTATCACCCCGTACCGCTAATGCAAACGATGCGAGTTCACGAAACATTATTCCTGGTCTCTTGAAACCTTGTTCTAAATTACATGTTGGAGCATTTAATGTCCAAACATTGTGTCAAATAAGGAAACAGGCTTCATTATCTAGGACTTAAGAACCTCGCGCCATGGATGTATGTTGCGTCTCGGAAACGCGCATACAGGATCCTAATAAAATCATTAATTTGATTTCACCTTATCAAAATAAAGAAGCAGCTTGATGTACTCTTCGTGTATCCGGTAGCCTTGATGCTGCCTCCCGTGACCTCGCTGGTGTAGTTATAGCACCACTGGTCGCGTGAGAGCATATGGCGAACTGTCATCTGAATTCTCTACATCAAGTGGTGTCCGTCAGGGCTGTCCACTCTCTCCATTCTTGTTTAACTTTGTCGTAGACATCCTCCTAGAGTTAACATTAAGCTCGTCAGATTTTTCAGGGGTTGACCTCCTACCTGGAAACTCGCTTACTGATCTAGAATATGCCGATGACATAGTTCTATTCGGTGAAGACGCTGACAAAATGCAGAGTCTTCTGACTACCATAAGCAACAATGCAAGCGTGTTCGGAATGCGGTTTTCCCCGTCGAAATGCAAAATCTCGCTTGATGATTGGTTTGCGACTTCACCGGAACTAGTGATAGGGAGTGAAGTAGCCGAACGTGTAGACCTCTTCACTTATCTTTGGAGACTCATCAGTGCTGACGGCCTGGTGATTGACGAAATCTCAGATCGGATACAGAAAGCTCGATTGGCTTTTGCCAACTTGCGTCACTTATGGCGAAGGCGAGATATCCGTTTGCTAACTAAAGGACGAGTTTACCGTGCAGTAGTTCGCTCCGTCTTACTTTATGGTTGTGAAACATGGACAGCGAGAGTAGATATTCGTAGGTTACTGGTTTTCGATCACAGGTGTCTTCGAAGCATTGCTCGTATATCTTGGGACACCCGAGTGAGCAACGCAGTCATTAGGAAACGGGTGCTAGGTAAGAATGGCAAGTCAATAGATGAAGTAGTGAAACTTCATCAGTTGAGGTGTTTGGGACATGTGTTACGTATGCCTAACCACCGACTGCCTCGACGAGCTATGTTTTGTGGTGTAGGAGTAGGTTGGGAGAAAGTTAGGGGCGACCAAACCAAGACGTGGCAGAAATCCATGAAGTCACAGACAGGTGTATTGTGTCATACTGTTAGATGTAGGCTACCTCGTTGGGATCTTCGAGACGAATGTCACCAATGGTTAGAGACTTTGAACGACATGACTCGACATCGTTTGCAACGAATGCAGCAGCCGATGACCAGTGTATCAGCAGCCTCTGCAGCAATAAGTCTCAACATTCGCATATGAATGAGCGAAATTCTTCGGTATAGCTCAACATGCACCAACCAAATCACACTTGACAGAGAAGCTTTGGAAGATGTAAAAACCTTCACATATCTGGGCAGCATCATTGATGAGCAAGGTGGATCTGACGCAGATGTCAAGGCGAGGAATGGCAAAGTAATGTAATATATCTGCAGTTGAAGAACTCGTGGAACTCAAAACAACTATCAACCAACACCAAAGTCACAATTTCCAACACAAATATCAAAACAGTACTGTATAGGAAGGAAACTTGGAGAACCACAAAACTATCATCCAGGAGATACAAGTGTTTGTTAACGGTTGTCGACGTAAGATACTCAGGGTCCATCGACCAGACACTGTGAACAACAACCTACTATGGGGTAGTACAAAACAGATTCCAGCTGATGAACAAATCATGAAAAATCACTGGTGGTGGATAGGTCAAATACTGCGTTACAAGACAAGCCCTCATTTGGAATCCTCTAGTCCAAAGGAAAAGAGGAAGAACACATCATGCCTACTATTGGAGATATGCATGAGAAGAATGAGCACCAACTGGATAGAACTGGAAAAGAAGGCCCAAGACAAAGTAGGTTGTAGAATGCTGGTCGTTGAACTATGCCTTATTGGGAGTAATAGGCGGAGGCTAAGCTATGAAGAGATAATACAGTAATTAAGCGTAACAGATAAATTTCAAGAATAAACTAAGTTAATAACTTTTATCGAAATCATGGATCGATCAAAGTTAGACCATTACTAGTAACCTGTAAGCTCCAAATGTGGGACTTTTTAACAATGTGCATTCACGACCCAGCACACGAGGCCGAAATTTCACTATCAATCACAGCATTTTTAGATTTTATTATGATCGAAATATTATTTGCGCTTCTTTCTACTAAAATCACTTTATAGTATTGAAATAACTAAATAAATAAAAGACGATGTTATTCTTTCATGTCCCATAATATTTAATGGGAATAAGTATATAATAATCTACCTGCTTAGTATATTATCACTTTGTACTATATATGAATGTAACTATGATTTTCCTATTTTAATATCTTTAAGATTTTCAGGTCAAAATCTGTTCTTTTTTTCAAATAATTTATCTGTTCTTATTTCTTTTTGAGAAAATAAATAAGGTGATTCAAATTAAATCGTTTCAAATTGTATTGAAATATTTTACAAGATGACAAGGTTTTCTCTTTTTTCTTGGAAAATAAAATAAAATGTTTTTGATTTAATCGTTGATTAATTTTGATATATTCCAGGTTAATAAATATTTTTATTCTCAAGCATTGAATAAGATCATTGGACATTGATCATAGTCATGGGATTTAGAATGGTCAATTGTAATTGCTTTTTTTAAGATATTATTAGAGTTGATAATCTCATAGTTGTAGATGTTTTCAAAGTAATATTAGTGTAAGAACTTCTTGTTCAAGTGGTTCAACACTGCTCGTACTCTAATTAAATGGTACAGCAAATTAGACCTACAATGATTTGCATTATTCAGTCATTTACAACTTAGAACTTCGCACGTACTTACATAAGTTCAGGTTGTCATATCACATTAGCTCGAAGAAGCCATTGTCAGTTCAAATCCCATAGTGGTAGAAATAGTAGAAACATTAGTAGTAATGAAGAAGATTAGGGTTCGGATAAATTATTCATGAAGTATAATTCAGTAAAATAAATTCGATGATTTGAATCAAACCCATTTACATTTCATATTTCGTTACTGTTTGTATTGAAGAATTTAGGAGCTATGTTGGAGTTTACAGTTGAATATGTCTATGTGCCGAGCGACTTTAATGATCATAAACGAGATTACTTCTTATACTCTACTTTCCTGTCCTCTGAGTAGAGAGTGAAATTAAAGCCCACTTAGAAGCATCATTGACTGATAGAGACCCAAATAGATGAATTTATCTTCGAATTCATTCCATCTAGTAGAGATCACAATAAGTAATTATCAATGTGAGGAAATATTAACCTAAGTGTGTCCAAAAACGTTCATACAGTTAAATAATATATTAAACAAAAGTCAATTGAATGAAAAATCATATTTAATAAGCATACATTATAATTCACTTAATTTCTACCTGTTAGATTGTATTTTCCCGATTTAACATCCCCAACACAGTTATGCAGTCAGAGATGTTCAGTTTTGTAAAAATGGCAACTAGTATCTACTAGTTTCTTTTTAGTGAGTCCATTCTCAAAGTTGTACAACCTCAAAATATATACTTATATTCACAAAGATTATCAGTAATATGTTTATTAAGAACAGTCATCTAATGAACATTCAGATTAAGAAACTAAGAATTGAATTCTTAAGATTTTGAGTAGACAATAAGAGGATAATCGTTGTGAAAAAAAGGCTGCGGAACATGGTAAAATAAAATATTGGAATTAAAAGGAAGTACAATCAGAAAAGGTATGAAAACCAAATAAGTTGGTTCGAATTATAAGGTCAACATACATGAAAGGTGATGCTTTTGGAAACCTAGAGGTTAAGACTATGGTTATCAAAAAGTCAATTGATGTCAGCAAATATATTTACTGTTTATTAGGAAGTAGTGTTTCTTAGAGAAACCCATCTTCAGATTTTAAACGACCTGAGAAAAGTGCTAACAATTCTTTGCCGATCTAGATTTGACAACCTTGAATCTTATAAGCCAGACGAATTTTTAACTGCCAGAATACGCGTAACAATTACCAAATATTGTAATGTATGTAAAATCTGTACGTGATAATATGTATAAAAGATTCTTGTCATAGATAAAATTCAGGCTGACAAGTGTTGTTAATTGAAGAAAAAATGTACTAACATCATAACATTCATTAGCAAGAATTTATTTAAGTCCTACATTTGATTTTCTTGTAATACTTAGCGACTCTGGTTGAACTTAGTTATCACTTCGTAATGGATTAACAATTTAATCTGATATGCAGTGGTATTAATTACTTCGTTCAAATCATATGAGCTATATTTTATCAACTAAGGATGAGAATTTTTATTGTACATAGAATTCAATTTAGCGCACCTACAAGGAGTTAATGAAAATGAAAATAGGTAATTTTCAGTGAGGAATTTATTCATCATATACACTTCACTTTTACACAAATCAATTATATAATATATGGATAACATTTTACAAAATTAATTTTTGTAATAAGTGTCTTCGTTAAACAGTATGTATATGATAATCTTGTTTGTTGATATTATATTATTACCGTTTTCACGCCGATATATATATATATATATTCACGCGTATGTGAAAGTACAAAATTTTGAATCAGTTAATGCCAACCTTGAATATGATTGTTATTATTATTTATTTGTCAAAATCTAATTTTATTTTCAAATCAGTTGATTAATTTGTGATGATCATTTGGCTTTGGACATAACTGAACACGATGCATCAGAAAGTCATCTGATTGCCATAGTCGTTCGTTCAGTGTGCTTAGGAATCAAAAAAGGAATTAGAAGTGAAGCATTCAAGATTCAGAGCTTAAATGAAGCTTAAATAAGTATCTGGTTCATTTAGAATCTAAACGAATCAAATGATTACAATCAATAGGCTATTAATAAGTTCGGTATTACGGTCAGGAATTTCAATTTTCTTTATATATTCCCTAATTAATCACTTGATAAAATTCCCAAATGCCAATGCGCTATACGCCGATTAGACCATCTCCATTCACTTTATCAAATGATATACTCTAATCAATTGAATAGTTCACGTAGATAAACGGTAATCTATTAAATATAAACGACAAAGTGAAGTTATAGTGATCTAACAGATGTTACTATAAATAGATAAGTAGTTATTGACGATAATCTGAGATGTTAGATGTCGATGAGTGTGATGGAGTTTTTGTTCTCTGAGCTCGATGTTTTGATTATGGAGCTCTCATTCGTGGAGAAGTTCGAATACTTCACTTCCACTCGATGATTTTTAGAAGAACAACAAAAGCTCCACAACCAAAGTATCCAGCTTAGAGAACAAAACTCCAACATGATAATCTGATATTATCTAGAGCAATATTTTAAATTCAAGATTTCTTTCTGAAGTAAGCCACAGTTAATGTACAAAGTTTTTATTTTATAAGTAATCTAAACAAAAAAATTTTTTATAAGCTTAACAGATTACAACATGATTAGTTATGCAACTGGTACATCTTTACTAACAAATCAAACAATGATTTTTACAAAAAATCATTACATTTATATCAGAACGATAGGAGCAAGTACATAAGAACAAAGGGACGAAAAATGAGTATAGACTCAGAAAAGTATTTCGCGAATCACTCTGTTCTCAATGAAGGTATTAGCTATATTGTTGGTCAATATAATAACATTGATTATACAACCTTATGACTGAACTTTGAGATTCAGTTTGTTATTATTCTAGCGAATATTTTTTGCAGTATACAATAGAAATATTCATGGATAATGCGGTGAATGATTAATATGCAAATCTTTAATTTTAATTACTACAGCTGTTTAGCTATTTCTAATTGAACTATTTTCAAATGATTCAGTTAAATTGCTCATTTTATCAGCCATCAGAAATTTCTTTTTTTTATTATCATTAAAAGAATGAAATTAAATTGATAACAATGAAACCTATAAATTGTGACTGGTTAAAGCTATTTTACAAGTCTACCTTTTTCAGCTAGAAACATTTTACAAACAATGGCACTGTTAGCTGAGAAAAATAAAACTCTAATAACTCTGTACATTGATGTTAGTGGGTGTTTATTATCATTATTATTATTATTTTGAATAACTGTTATCATTCTGTGTCATTCTTATTGTTCACTAACTTTTGATAGATTTGTTATGATCATTACTATTTGCCAAACAAAAAGTAAAGGTCTCTTTACTATATATTGGTTACCAAGTTTTGTAGCAAAACTATTTTGAATTTTTTATTCATTACTGATATTTATGATTTGTGATCATTTTATTACTTAAACAAGGCATTATCATATAAGCTATAAATTTGATTAGTAAAAAATTACTTGTGATCATTTATTCTGTCTTATATTCGATGGTGAAGAAGATGAAATGTTTCGAGTGAAACCGATACAATAATGGAGTAGATAAATTTATTGTCAGTAGTTAAAAAAAGGCTTTACAGAAGTTGGATAAAATTTCTCTTGAAAAACTATTTACACATAATTTCCAGGAAGTTAGACTTTAATTAATAAAGATATGTTGAATGTCTACAATAGTTAGATGAACATTGTCCACTATGTTATAAAAATAATGATCAGTAATTAACACAATGAAATATTTTGTATAAGCTATATGCAAATCTTGAAATTATCAAGTTGACAGTTGCTTTAAATTTTTCAGTGCGAAAGAACAGTTTTTACCATGACAGACAGACACAACACAGAAGTTCGTACGTAAGTATATCAGTTCAGGTTGCCATACCACATTAGCACAGAGACGCAACTATCGGTTCAAATCACATAGTGGTAGCGATAGTAGAAGTATCAGCAGTAATGGAAAAGATTAGGGTTCTAAGATATGATTCGAGAAGTATAATTCAGTGAGATAAATTTAGGAGGTGATAACGAATTCAGAAGATTACAATTTGAGGGAACACAAAGGATAAATGCACCTGCGCCATTGCAAACGATTCTGAGCCATGTCTTTCAAGGTCATGAATTAATATTACTTAAGAAATAGTAATAAAAACTGTGATTCATAAAACTACAGTTCAGAAGTGATTTATCGCAAGTGAAATATCGATTCGATTGATGCAAGAAATCCTTTTAACAAACATTTAATACTTCATGTTTGTGGCTTTTTTTCAACCAGTCAGTTGTAAGCAAAAGAAATGACAACCAGCTGTCTTGTTCTTCTAACTCTTTGTGTCTTTATCATTTTTAGTACTTATAAGAAATCAGAGGGTAAAGCATCATCAGAATTTTGTTCATTACCCTTGAAACTAAGAGACAAAATAAAGAAATAATAAGTGTTATCGTAGAATATTAGGTCGTTATCAGTTAATATATATATGGACATGGACTTAATATTATATATATATATTTGGAATTTCTTCAAACCTGCTTTATGCTACTGAAAACTATCTCTTTCTTGAATAAGAAGCTATTTTGTCCAAAATTTTGAGATTTCATTTTATTCTGACATAATATATCACAATAGCCTGATTGTTTAATTTTCTTCAAGCACTTCTAAATCACTTACTGTTAGTATTACAAGTAACAGTAAGCATTTATATTGAATTTGTAATTTACTCTATTTGTATTCCTATTTTTATATAATTAGTAGTAATAATTAACTGATTGTTATTGGCTTACATTCACATTTTAACTTTTTCTCCAATTAGCTACTGATAACTAGTTATCATCTTTCAAGAAAATTTTGAGAAGCATTATATTCAGCTGATTCCGCTTTGTTTAATTTGCAGTTGGTAGATTTCATTGCTCCATAATACTGTTTAGTGTATAATGTTTCATACATTTTGTCACAGTTGTCTAAATAATATTTATCATTCTATTTAAACACTTTATATTTATCATACCTAAAGATGATGTATTATTTAAATTATAACGATGCATAACAATATATTGTATAATAATAGCTTAGGTAATATGACCTACTATATATCTACCATACAGTGATAATGAGGTCATGAAAATCGATCGAAGTAACTGCTCCAACAAAATAAAATGTCAATCTACATCAACATGAATTGTAGGCCTAGAATTATAGGCCTGATTAAAATAAGTTAACTATAGCAATATTGTTACAATGTATTAGTTGATGAATGATACCAAGGCGAAGTTGGACGAAAGCAATATAGACAGGTAGAAGTAGGAAGGTAGGCAGAATCTCTGATCATTGATTGGTGACATGATTAACGTTAACTAATTCGTTTAATATCAATGAGAGTGAAAACAGTAGCCTTATAAGGATTGAGATAGAACTGTGCTACAAAGTTGCAGTTATTTCTAAAAATGATCAAGAACGAACACTTTTATCTTAAATATTATCTAGGTGTTTCTAAATTTAATTTCTGTTAGATGTTCTGCATCGGTTATTAAAAACCCATGATCCAACGTTTTGTGATCGTTAACATTTGTAAGTAAGGAGTACCAGAACTGATGCTTGTCCTAGCTATCTAAATCCATTCTATCAACATATATCATATGAGCATTTACCATTGAGTTATCTAAGCACACAATATTGTTTAGTTTTTTTACCTCAGTAGATAGATCATTTTCAAAGGGGTCTATATTTTATAAAAAGATAACATAATTGATTACATAATGTGGAGGTTAGCATCGACGATATGGAATGAAACCGCTTTAGCCATCACAAAAAAATTTTAGTTTACAGAAAGATTTGTTAATCATTAAGATATTTTATTTGTCATCTGATAATATCGACAGTAATAAATAAGAAATGTTGATCATGAAATATTATTTCCGACTAACTATATGGTTAACTATAATAAACAAGTAGAAAAACATTTAGTGTAATAATGTGACAATAGTGTAATAATAATAATTAATTTATTGTCTTATTCAGCATAAATAAGAGAATCTCAATATTTAACATTGATTACGTTTTCTTATGAATAACAGGTTAAATGAAGTGATTTGAAATTTGTATAGTAATTCGATAACAGAACTCAGTTTATGCGACAGTTCTAGACTACTTATAAGTAGACAACATTTTTGTAGATGAAAAACTCAGTACATTCGGTAAATAATGTATATCCTGAAAAATACTATATTTTAATACTTATTTATAAGAAATGGAAATTATTTTCCTTCGGATAAAGAATTCGTTAATAATTGTGAAAGGCGTTTATTTTTTTGACGTTGATTACAAAACCATACACGTATTACACTTTTTGGCATATTCAATTGTACAGCTAGCTGATTCATTTGTTCAGAGTTTGGTCTACAATCTATTGCATTAAAGAATGATTCGAGAATAGATTTTTCTCTACCCATGATAGACATACGTTTACGTCGTTGGTTTTGCACAGATTTTTTAGATGGATTAAATGATATTAAGACTGGTGAATTAGTTGGAGAGTATGAGGAATTCTCATATAAATCAGTGAAATCAGTAGATGTACAATTCAAACAGTTGAATGATTCTTTAAAGTAATGTTCTTGATTCACATCTAGACCATCTTCCATTTGTTTTAACCATATTTCCAAAACAGGTTTTAAAGCAAGCATATTTTTATGTGATAGTGACAAGGATTCAAAGCGACATATTGTCGACTGTGATAAACAACCGAAACCACTTACATTTAGTGCACCTAATGCACGTCCTACTTCAGCTTGCGTTATGCCAAGTTTTATTCTTTTTTCTTTAAATATATCAACAAATTTAGCTAAAGTTTCTGATTCCTTTAATGGCTCGTCAGTTTTATGTGTTGTTGTTACAGTACAATCCGATTTAGTTGAACAACCACTGATTGAGGATAAAAATGACCATTTATCCCATTCAGAAGAGGAAATATTACACTGACACTGATGATGATGATGATGATCACTTACAGGAAAGTTTAAATCGGTTGATTTACCAGATGGATTGTTATCGTTACTACTGAATGTTGCATTGTGTGGTTTAAGTGAATCAGATATTTCATAACTGTTAATTTCAATTTTGGAAACTGGTGAACGGAATTCAAAATTGTCATTATTTTGATGAGTATTTATCAATGACTTCTCCATACTATTCAAAGAATTCTGATACGAAGAGTAATTTTCAGTTTTTGAACTAGGATTGTCGATAGTATTCTCTTCGTCACTATTTGGACAAACAAATACCTTTTCAGTGTCGTTACAACTCAATGTTCTTATTTGAAACAGTGAATTCTGTTCATTCTTACAATTAATTGAACAATTCAATCTATTCATAGATAAAAATGATGAATTGTGATTCATTTTATGCGCGCTACATAAAGTTTTTTGTTGTTTACTTTTTTGATTTGATAAGTTGATTCGTTGTAAAGCTGAAGAAAAATCTTTGCTAAACTTGTAACACCATTTATGTTGCTTTTTATGTGAACAGATACATTTTAATCATTCGTAAGAAAAATAGACGATCATTATGAATGCATATACATGAATCAGTATTATTTATTTTCATCTTCACTTCATTAGATGACTAATTCAACTTGCATCTTAGAGTAAAATGATCATAATTAGATTATTAGTAGTAATTAATAACTGTTTCAAAGTATTCACGTTAACTGAAAAAAAAAGCAATGAAATGTAAAAACAAAATTTTACATAGATGAATCAATAATAATATTTGAAGTAGAAAACGTTTAGTATTGTTCTACTTTTTAATTAGATTTTCATATTTGACATGAAATCATCCTATAAAATGTATGGAACAAAAAATGCAGTTTCATCTTATGACTAAACATTGTTTTGTTTTGGCAAGTGATAAAGATTCCTAATATCAAAGTAAATATCTTTTTATCATTGGAACAGTTTATTTATTAAACTTTAAAGAAAAAGACACTAGTACTTATTGATCTATGGTAAAGAATATTGTCTGATAACTTATAAACTGATCATTATGATTCTTGAACATATTTCTGTTTAAATAAATTGCCCTTATTTAAACAATGAACGTAAGATTGAACATTTACTTAGTCCTGTTGTTGGTTTCTTCAGTTGTGAGCATGTACGATTCTACCAAGGATAAAATCCAGAATTCACACCGCATATTTGTTTAGCTTATATCAATCTATGAGCAATCATTTCAAATTTCTCATTCTGACAAATGTATAACGAAAGATAAGAAATTGAGAACATAAAAATTTACTCTATGTTACTTTTGCCTGCCAAAACGGATATCAGCTTGTAATAAAATGTATTTTTATTTTAGAGTTTCACGTTCCACAAATTTTTAAATGTCTCGATAAAAAATTTGCGCATTTACGTATATTTTAAAAATTACCTTGAAAATGGTCAGAAACCTTTTCGGTCTCATGATATAATTCACCAAAATATAAGTTAGTCAGTCATCTGCATTGGCTTAAGTTACCACAGCTCATTAGCACAAACAGATGAATTTGTTAAGAAACATCTCAAAGGTATCAACAGTAACACTGGTAATGCGAAAGATTAGACATTGAAGATATTATTCAACGAAAGATAAATTTGTGACATAAACAACTATGAGTAGTGTGGAAGCTTAAAATCTGATGGAGAATAGATGCACCTGAACCATTACAAACGATTTCGAGTCATACCGTTTTAAAGTCTCAAACCACTGGTTAGGATTATCTTGCGGACCTCAATCAGGTAGCTTGGCTCATTTCGATTGTCAACGACTTTATGGACTAATTCCAAGATTTCGTTGGACACTTAATTCACTGACATCCATTTCTGAGGTAATTTTATCCTTAAAAGGTTTTATAATTGAAATGAATATTTTACGAAATTATTATTCTAAGTATACAGTGAAGAAACGGTCTTTGTGATATAAAGACCGTTAGTTGAAACGATGAAAAGTTGAGGAGATTTTATAAAATAATAATTCAATTAAAGAGTTGAGTTTAAAACTTTTTAATTGATCACGTTTAAGAATGGAGGTTAACATTGGTAGATATGATTAGTTGAGTCGCATAATAACATTTACTGAAAGTTTACTAATCATTTCTTCAGAATCCTGTGCAATCTCAATACTATCCTAATATACTAAAACTAACAATTCCACAGTTGAAATAAATTTCTCTAGACCGTCTGCAGCTTTTTTTTACACTAACCAATTACAAAAATTCAGTCAATCAGAAATCAAAATACAACATTAGGGTATAAATTCCGTTCCATTATTTTGTTTCATATTTCATGACTTTTCACTAATTTTTTTTACTTTTGTTTAATTTGGCCCGATGTGAAAATTTTCTTAATTTTATTATTCGTATTTTATACATTATCTGTTATGAAGTTATGCAATTTATATTACAAACTGATATTAATCAGATAACGTTTTCAATTCATGAAGTATCTTGTCCTTGCAGGGCGAACTGAAAATCCAAAACCTTCGGGTCTATCGGTAAATGTTTAACCTTTAAGACTAATTAATATTTATCTAAATTTTATTATCAAAAAGCTTGAATAAGTTAGAGCGTGAGTTAGAAATGCAACCAGTAAAACTTTAAAATATCTTGAATCTTGGGGAGTGTTAACAGTGATCTCGAATCAGTTGTGGAGTTGAAATGAGCAAAGCTTGTAGTACTAAATTTAGCCTGTTCATCGACTGAACAGTACTAATTGATATGTGTGAAACAGTTCAAAATTCCCTTGTCAATGAGGCAGTGCGAACAGAAGGCAGTGGGTGAGGTTGCGTAAGACCATGGATTGATCGAAGTTAAACATTAACACCGCTAGATAGGGGCTCGGTGGTCCTGAAGTTAAGCATTCGCTCGCAAGACAGAAAGTTTTGGGCTCGAATACTTCGACTTGCGGAAATCGTGGATGCGCACTGCTGATGAGTCCCATACCAGGACGAAACAGCCGTCCAGTGATTCTAGGTTTTTAATGGTGTCCTAACGTTGATCGATTCATGAACTCAAAAAGTAACTCAACAATCTCCACAACCGTATCATGCAAAAAGTGTTATTACAGACTATAGTTTATCGGTCTCTACTGTCATAACTGTATTCTGAAAGCATTGGCTGCGTATTGATTTTAGGTATGTTTAAAATAAATTAGACTATTGCTATGAGGAATCGGTACATCAGTAAATAAATCATTGGGCGTTTGAATCTAAAAGTATTAAGCTTAAATCTTAGTGTAAATACAAACACTAGGATAAACAAAACAAAACGGAAGAGAAGTCATGGATTCCATCCAATTTTATTGAAATTAATTGAGTTTTGTTCAGTAAAAAAAAATATAATACCACTTACAGTTTAGACTAAATGTGTGATTGCTTATTCACTATATAATTTAGGGGAAATAAATGTTACTATGAGAATCTTTATACTCATATTTATTCATTTACTTGTCACTGATAGATAATGAAGGGATTATTTCTAAACCAATCAGAATATAAGTAGAATTTAAAAACAATGCGATTAGATACTATCGCTAGTTAACCAATTAATCTATTTAGTGTTAAATACAAGAATTGTTTGCTTTATTCTAACGATATATACATGACCTTAATTAAATCATCTCCTTATGTATATGTATTTCAGTGCATGAATTAATGCATTAAACTGACAAATTATATGTTATTAGCAAAGGTTTGCATTATCCCTCTGTTTGCATTCAACAATAAGTTTTAATGATCATTTGTGAATCTTGTCACGATTGTCTTGATACAACCATGTTGTACATTCCACTGTCAATTCTCAAATAGGACACAGTGACCTTTACATATTACATTGATAGCTACAAATCAAAGAATTCTACCTGTTACAAAACGAATTCATAGAGGTAGCTCATTCTGGTAGTATATGCTCCAACCATGGCCAATAGAAATGTAATTAAAAATCTCAACTATGAGATAATATAAAAACGGTCCTGATATTATAAAATATCATATCTCTTGACCAATCTAACGGCTATTTGAACTCGATAGTTTAGTGGATAACGCTTTGAGGTTTGATGCGAAAGATACTGGGTTTAAGCATCAGTTATAAAATGCAGAAGGGATAGTAAGACGAAATTAACTTCTTGACTTATAATTTTTCACTCCAATCTTTAGTATTGTGATTTATCACAAGTAATTGCGCAGAAACATTACTTATTTATGTCTGTTACCCATTGTGGAACATAGGCCGCAATCCCCATAGGAATTGCTTATAGGTGGAGGCTCCCCTCCCCATAAATTGATAGTCTTGCTAAGCTGCTTGTTAGGATTTAATTAATAATTACATGAGATATTGGGAGAAAACGATGTAAACACCCTCGAATAATTTTTTTGAAAATATAGTGTTTTAACCGAACAACTATCGGGAAAGTGGAACTTTTCGGAACTATTTTAAGCAGTGTTATTTTCTAAATTTTTATTGCATAGTTAGTAAATAACTTAGTTGTTGCATTCATATATTTAAGTATGCTTGAAAAAACTTTTGGATTAATTTGTTCTATATATTTTTTAACTGAACATTATATTAGTTTTGTCATCTGTAACAAATTTATTATATCTGTGTGCATCTTCTAACTGGCTTTATAAAATATCCTTATGTTAGAGTAAAGTATTCAATATAATCAATAGAAATTTCAACTTGAACTATATAAATGAAATATTTGTAAGCAAAATTGTAACTTTTATTATTGATTTTACGATTCGAATATCGAATTCTATGTATACGTTAGATAGTGTATGTTGATAAAATCACAAAAAAATTACAAATACGACGAAGTTATGCTCAATGACTCATTTAGTTTGTCAAATAAACATAATTAATTTAGAACATATAACGAATAAATATGAGCCACTGGTATGATTTCACCCTGGTTTTCCTTGATTGTCGATGTGAGCTTACTGATTACTGCTTGAGCTAAGTAGCATAATTATGTAATTTCTCAGAATATTTCATTTATTTCACGATTTCTGAAATATGTATATGTATAATCATTTTTCGATATTCACGAAGTAACATAATATGATTGATATAATCGTCTTTTCTGAATTAAGCCTTTTGCAGACATTTGTAACAACATTCGAACACTGCTCTTTTATATCTTCGGACTAAATAAATCTTGAAATCGTTCAATAAACATCTGACTGTAAATTTACATCCATTCTCTATGCAATATAGATGAATACCTGAATTAATTGAGTAACCTTGTGTTTAATAATTACAAGGGCGAAAGTTGTAGTGTCTTAGTGCTTTTAATAAAAAAATTTAAATAACCAAGATTAAGAGCTAAAATCATAGCAATGTAATTAACAATTTAATGAGTGCATATTGAGTTTCGACACACAGATCATTAATCTTTGTACGTTTAGTCTATTCTTATTAAAATTTAAGGAAATTATTCTTTGATATCTATATGTCTGATGTTACACAACACCGTGTTAATCAAATACGCATCATTAACATGCTGTCTCTTCTAATTATCACTAAACGTTTGGTGCATATGATGAATTCCAACTTTCGATTGAACCACTGAAGACACTGAGAACTATCGCTTAACAGTATGGAAATAAATGAGGCCAAAGGAAAATATGTGCAAGTATGTAGTTTCTTATTGAATTAAAAAAATACAGTATAACAGACGAGTCTATGAGCTCTGTAAATATTTAGTTCATCATGAATGAGTACAACTGTGATATTACAAGATACAATCGTTTCTTCATTATCGATCTAAGTATACAATTGATTTTCTCCAGAACAATGATATCAGGAAGTGATTTCATTGATAATAACTATCAATTTAGACAACAAACCTCTTACCGCATAAACAAGGAGCCGCCAACTCATGAAAATAAATGAGATACAGCATTATTGAGAACACGTAAAATCAGAGTAAATGTTATAAATAATAAGTAAAACTACTACCAGTTACAAAATGGATAGAATATACCAATATCTTTCCAATATTTTTGATAAGACCAAAACCTTTTTGTTTTTAACAGCTGTGTATGTCACAAAGAAGTAGGCTTATTGAAATCGTGAAATCTGATCGATTTTATGGAAATTGTAGTTCGCTAATCTTATATGAATCTGAAAGTGGTTGTTCGTCACATACATACATCAGCTAAGGAACCTATTGGATCGTGATTAAGCGCTATACATTTTTATAATAAATATCTTTACTTTAGCTGTTAGATTAACATGAAGGATATAAAGTACTTTGTAAACTGAGTATTGGTTCCTCTTATATTGTTCTATCATGATCTTCTACCATTTGTCAGTTATATTGTAGCTGAATAAAATAAATATACTTCATCCACTATTGAGTTTTTCATACATTCAATTAGCTTAACTGTTAATAGTTATCATTTGATTAGGTTGTTCAGTTTTACAAAAGTCATTGAAAATAAGGAAGGAGTAAACAGCTAGTTTTAAATTAGTTGCTTCATTCGATGAAAAGATCCTGTAGAAACCAAATTTCTTTTTCCTTATAAGAACCTATTCACTAATCAGTTGGTAAAATGCCTAGATCTTGAACTTACACTTCAAAATACAACAATAACAATTTGTAGATTATTGAAAACAAAATGAAAATTAATTGGGGGAATACAAAAGTGTAGCAAATAACGAAATTACATAAGATGGAGAAATAAAAAAAAGTGTTTCAATTGCATTGAAAAAAAAACATTTACCTAGTTCTTTAGAAACATGATTGTTTGAATGATACTGAGAAAACAAAAATCCATTTGATTATTACGTTAATTAAACTAATTCAGCAGCAAAAAGTCACAAATGAAATAAACAGATAATGATACCAGAAAAATGATTAAAATGCTCATAACATGAAAAAAAAAAATAACTATTTGTTGTAAGGCAAATTTTGAAAAACCTTTGGGTAAAGTATATTATAGGAAATAAATAAGCTAACAAAACAGCACCGGAAATTTCTTCATAAATGAATAAAAGTACGATTTTTTTTTCTCTACTGTTGATCTCCGATTGAGGTGCGTCTTAAAGTCACAAAATTATTCAAAGAGAAAATGAAAAAAAACAACATACTGTTCACAAAAATATAAAAGATCATCTAGTTTAGATTGGGAATAGTAACACACACACACACACACAAAGGAAAATCATCAAAATAAACAAGGAAAGAAGTAAGTACCCAATTAGTAAAGTATTCATTCATTTTATGGATGAATGATTTGAAAGATTTGTTCATTTTCAAGAAGATTTCCATCATAACCAATGGAAATTAGATTATGAATGTTGAATATGAAACTGATTTTATTATACAAGGGATTTTCCGTTAATATCAATTTGTAAAGTTTATCATTAAATAGGATCATTCTAGTTAGAGGAAGACAAAGAGGACAACTGATGCCCCCATAATTCGGTTCATTCGATAGAAGAAAACACGACAATTAGATGATAACAAGCAACGAAAAAAACACATATCAAAGCCTCGTTTATTAAAATGCTGATCGAATAATTCTACTTTCATATGACCAATAAGTATATTGAAGATCAAGTAATTGTTTAAGCATTTCTTGTAACCAATCTAACGAAGTACAAGGTCGTTGAAGTATACCATGTAAATGTTCCGCATCTAACATTTGTTTAGTATAAATAATAAATTTATTTAAAAATTTATTTGTTATTTTGTTTGGTAAAGTATTTTGAAATGTTAATGGTATACTATCAAATTTACTGTGTAAATCATTGTAAACAAGTTTTTGAAATTTACTCAATGACTTTAATTGAATCGATTGACTACAATGACAATAATGAATATTTTTTGTTGATAATTTATCATTATCATTAGTCAATAATGTCGGTACTATGCCAAAATTAATTATACCAGAACAAGTTGAACATTTCAACTGAAAGTCTTTATTACTATTAGTAACAGTAGAAAACATGAAACTTGACCAATTTTCTATACAGGCTTGACATATACAATGAAAATGATATTGTGATTGTAATGAATTTCGACGTTCATTCAAAGAATGTATTGCATAATGTAAACCATAATTTCCATAGATTATTTCATTTTGTTCAATAGGTCGAAGTGAATAAATGCCACATTGATATTTATTCATTGTAACATTAGTGATATTTGGATCACATGAATGATTAATCAATGACAGGACTGGATATAAACAAGAAGATATTTGAATGGATGTCAATTTGTTTAAATCTATGCCAGGTGGTATTTTTTCTGAGAAAATATATTCAGGTATTGATAATGAATGACCATTTGATGAGATACACTGAAGATGATGTAATATACATGTAGATGCCCAGTCAAATGGTAATAGTGCACAGTTAGATTGATTATTATTATTATTATTATCATTAGTATTTCTGGTAATTGGATAACCACCAGCCTGAAACAACAAAAATTGTGATTTGAGCAAATTTCAATAAGGACGATTTGTGAAGTCTATTCAACTTAAAAGGCAATCTACACTACAAACGAATTTTTGAAGGTATCGTATTCAATGAGCTGCTACATAATTAATTTTAAAGCTTGTGTTATTGTTCTACAGAACATTACCAGCTTCTACTTCACTCAAATTTCCATATAAAGCAAGCGCTGCTGATATCATTTCAAACAACAACGTTATTGTTCTTAAGTCACCAGAAAAAGTATTCACGTGATCTGTGCATTTTTTCATTTAGAAAAACTAACTTTATTTAGATAACAATCTTTAAAATTTCACACACAATTCTAATAACAGTAATATACTTATTGATATTTAATTGCGAGGTAAAATTCATGAAATTTTAGTTAAAGGCTCTCATCGGTATGGTTCAATCATGTTACATATGATATCATATTAGATAATAACACTGGAGTTATTGGGCCATATCACAAATAAGCTACAGATGTAATTCTAAGTCCATTGAATACCATTCATGTGGTATCAAAGCAACTAGTTTGTGGTTAAATTAATTAAAATCTGGTTCAGTCGGTCGGGATGGTGCAGTGTGATCAAGTGGTGCTCTTCAAAACACAATAGTGAGTGCATGGAAACTACCGTATCCAGAGACAGATAAACGTTGGCAGGATACTCGAGAAAAGAATTTAAGATAAAATAAACTTTATCATAGTTTCGAAAGTATTAACACAAACTTTATTTAGTGCCCTACTTGAGCTTCCAGTATAATATTTTCGTAAATATTAATATATAGCTGTTTTTCTGATTGAAATTTGTTTTAATTAACTAATAATTCCTGTCACTCATTCGCGTTTACTCACTTTCATAAAACAATTACAACCCTATCTTGAAGTTAACTACTGAGAATCTCAAAAAGTACCATTAAGGTGGTTCGTAAATTTTTCTAGTCTTGCGTTTTGGGAAAACGACAGAAAATCACCATACAATACACACGTCAAATATATTCAGCAAAGAAAACTGGCGTAAGGCGAACGAGAGCACATTCATATATATATATATATATATATATATATATATATATATATGTATATATATATATATATATATATATATATATATATATACCTTCGAAAATCAAGCCATTAAGTGTCTCATTTCTTAGAAATGGAAACCCTTTTGTGGACTAATAACGTGCACTTATTATTTGGTTGATTTTTGATTGGCCCACTGTTTCAATCTGTATTCAGAATACTTTGAACATTAAAATGAGGAGTAGTTGATCATGAATCATTGGGCATCATTGTATATAATCTGAATAATACATGAACAAAATTGGAAGTGGACGATTTCAAGGCGACAACATCCTATCATAAGATGTAGTAGCCAAGAAAAAGCATCATCGGATCATTTGCTTCGGTTACTCAGTAGCCGCAGAAGATTTCAATGAAACATATATCTGGGAGTTGTATGGAACCGTATTCAAGGTTTGAAATACAGAAAACCTGAATTAGATGCATAAAACTGTTTCCTGTTTAATTTATGGTTCAATTATATATATGAAATATTAATCACTATCTTTTATCATTTTACAATTAACTATTCCAATTATTAATTTAAATTTCTTAACATAACAAGATGTAGCACAGATTAGTGAAATGTACATAGATAAACAGAACAATTCAGAAACAAGGCACAGTTACAAAAAAATTCTTGAATTTGGTGTTAAAAACATCCTAGTGATAATTTTTTTAGATAGTATGCAGTGAAATAATAATAATAAGATACTACTTACTTCAAGACAAAATGTTAAATAAACCGCTACAACAGTACGTTGCCATAAATCACTAGTTTTACGTTTATTTGAATTTGTCAAAAGCCAAGCAACCGTTGTATAATCATCCCAATCACATTGTGGAATGACACGTTGACCAGTGAATGATAATAATTCTTCGTTGTTTGTTTGTTCTTCATTAGTTTGACCGATTAATTTATTCAAGGAAATCTAAAATAAAAGTTATGATTATCCAAAATCAATACATTTATTCACTTTAATAATTCACTTGGTACAACAAAGTATATGTATAATTTGGCAGTATCATTTAATACCGGTAAGTAAAATTTAATTCTCGATTTTTTTCGTAATTATGTAATTAACGATCTCGAGGTTACAAAAGATAGATTTCTATAGTGCAGATGCTTACAGTCGCTTTGCTTTAAAGTTTGTAAAACTGATTCTAATGAAAATTCTAATTAGGATATAGAGATTTTTAAAGATTGTAGAATTTTGCACAGCTCAGATCACGAACTAATCCCGGTTAGACTACCAATGAAAACCGAGAAGCACTGGACGGCCGTTTTGTCCATGTCAGATGCGTGACATTTACCGAGCACAGGAAATGAAAGGTGGTTTTACGTAATATCGTGAACTGATTGAAATTATACATTAAAGCCGTGGGATGCCGACCTAGTGGTTCAGAGGTTAGGCAATGATACGCAAGACTGCAGGTCCTGAGTTCGATTCCCTTGATATGAGAATGAGGATGTACACTAATTAGAAGTCCGATACTAGGATGAAACGACCATACAGTGCTTCCAAATTTTAAGTGGTCAATCAGTCAGTTACAACTTAGAACTTCGTACGTAAGCACATCAATTCACGTTGCCCCATAATGGCACATTAGCACGGAGATGCAATTTTCGACTGAAATCCCATAGTGGTAGAGGTAGAAGGAATGTGATCAGTAATCGGAAAAATCACGGTCCGAAGATATTATTCAAGAAGTATTATCCAGTGAAATAGATTTGAGACGAGAAAGATGAAGGTTATGAGGAGCTTAGATTAAAACTTGGGAAAACACAAAGAATGGTTGCACCTGCATTATTGTAGACGATTTTAAGTGGTAGCGTAACTGCGACCAGTTCGTGATTTAAACTGTGAAAAATTATAGTGACAATCATTTTTGTATCCTTACCCATATACAATATATGTGCTCAGTGCAATCTGTTAGTAGGTATACTTATCCAGGACTTCATGTAATAATGGACGATGCCAAAACTGACGCTAGAGAAATATAACTGATGTGAATATTTTAAGATAATGTGGTACAAGAAATGATTTGCTTCCCATAAACTGGAACAATCAGTAGTGAAGTATATGCAAACGAACAAACCCCGGTGTTGATTAGTTCAAATTCAGTCCTAAACATCAACAACAGGATGATACAAACCCTTAACAATAACGATATAAGCATTATAACCACTGAACAAATTATCAGTTGTCTGGAATCAATAGACCAGTAGATGATGCGCCGTCAATATCTGAAGCGATGTGTGCTGAATTTGAATCTCTGTGTGAATAACAACACTGAGAATTAGATACATTCAGCAGCACATAAACTCTAAATAGGACAAAACCAGTGTCTTGGTTATTTACTTGACAGTTGATAGATAAAAACACAGTTAGTTAATAATTCAAGCTTCGACAATCAATAAATATATCCTGACAAAAAAAGTAACTATTAGAAAGGTTAAATGAGAAGGCATGGTTTATTACGATTTTAAATTTATCTTCGATAGAGAAACATAATGTTTGTCAATTCACCTTGATTAATCTATTCAATGTGTCTGGAGCAGTTTTAGTTAAAAGAGCGAATGCAAGCCATGAAATATTCGGTCCACCAATTATATCATCATCAGATAATTTATCAATGAATAACTTCAATTTTTTCATTGATACTTTTAATTCATCTGACGATCTATTACGTAATCGTTTCCAGCCAGCATAATCTTCTATAATCAGTCGATCAACAAGCCCACATTCAAAACGATGGCACGGTAAATATAAATCGTTTGTTGAATTTAACGGCAATGATGTGTTATTGTCAGTCCATACTGGATTCCAAGCTGCTTGTTCACATAATTCACTACAAAATCCAACCTTTAAAAAAAAACATCAGAACAGAGAGTAAGATTATTATTCCAATGTGCACTTTTAGTAATTATCACCTATTACAAGTTAACACTAGGTACTAAATTAAAAAAACAGGTTATATCACTTTAATTTGGTACTTATCAGATATACAGGGGGAATTCAGGTTACTATCGAATTTCAGCTGTGAACATGTCGCAACATATGCCACAAATTTTGAATACATCGAGAACTGGATTCTGATTGAACAGAGCGATAATAATATCCTATTCACTGTGAATTTTAGATTCATTATTTTATTAGACTGATTTTTTACTTACAATGATATCAAAGCAAAAAACCAATAACTTGGCTATGTTTATTTGCTTCTCTACAGTTTTATAGATAAAGTTATAAAATGGTTTACTTGTGTATAGAAGAACACTACAGATGAACTTAATAAAAATACAACAAAACAAACATTTCAATGTAAAATGTACTGAAATAATTGAATAGCGTTTAAATCTTATCGCTACATGAATATAATTTGATCATACAACCTTCGTGTACCTATTTATCTACATATTTCAAAAGATTCTAACTCAAAACAGAACTACAGGAGAATTATTTTAATGAATATTCGTTTTAACGATGTCACATTAATTGATGATTTATTGTAAACTATAAAACTAGGGAAAAAAATTTTTAGAAAATCATTACTACACCGAATTTGTGAAGACTGTTAAATTACAAAATTTACATCTAGGGTTGATTTCAATCAAACAACCAATTCAAACCAGAAAGCGTTAGAGAGCTGTTTTTATCCTGGTACGAGATCGCTAAATGATGATGTCCACTGTCGGAAAGTTCGATACTAGAACACAGCATTTAGTCTATATAAGTTTGCGATTCATTAGCATATACAAACTTTTGAATCCCCACCTTAGTACAGCTAATGACATTTTGATGAGAGAAAAAAAAACAATCACTAAGACATCAACACATCAATATAGAAAAAACAGTCAAACAATTGATCACCTGAGTACAATTACGGCATGGTATAAGATTTATACATCGTTTAGAACAACGATAACAATTGAGTAATAATCTATCATAATGAAGTCTGCAAGCATACGGTGTATCCAGTATGAGAAGTTCACCTGGGAGAAAAAATTTCAAACAAGCGGTTAAGTTGAACTCGAAACACATTTGTTAACAAACTGAATTGAAAAAATATTAATAACAATAATAAAAAACTTGAACTCACACTTTCTAAATGTTAAAATAATGGTATTATAATGGTCGTCAGTCAGTCAGTTAGATGCAACGTAGAACTTCGTACGTAAGTACATCAGTTCATGTCGCCATACCACATCAGCACAGAGATGTAATTGTCAATTCAAATCCAATAGTAGAAGAGGTAGTAAAGGTATTAGGAGTAATCGGAGAGGTTAGGATTAGAAGATATTATTCAAGAAGTATGATTTAATGAGAAAAGTTTAGAAAGTCAAAACTAGAGGTGTTGAAGAACCCAGAAGATTAGGATTTGAGAGAATACAAAGAATAAATGCACCGGCGCCATTGCGAACGATTTTGAGCCATGTCATATTATAATGGTCGACTGGGCTGTTGATGTGAACAACAACTATTAAGCTTGATAGGTTTTTGAGCTGATTGGTATAAAAGCGGTTTGAGTAGCCCATATCTTCCATCCACATAGGTTTTTAATAACTCCAGACTAGGTTGATTTTTCGTTATTTGACCGACCCAAGACATGTGCATTATTATCAAACTTAAAAAGTAAACTCGATAACACTTTTGAATCTTAGGAGAATGAAGTTTAGTATGATTGGAGGTACGATTTGTGAGGCCTTGGTTTTATGGCTTTTACAATCATTTTACAGATAGGTTTCGTATTCAAACTTCGCCCTACTTCAATTCAGATCAACAGAATGTAATATTAGTCCTCTTTACAAGAAACGCGCGGCTCCAATCTGAGTGAATAGATTTTTACATGGTAAGTTATTTTAATGTACACTTTACAGTAGAAGTATAATATACCGCGTAGTTACGAAACAATCGACAACGCAAAGTGATAAAGCAACAGTGGTAAAACAGAATTGACCTGAAAAATTAACCTTCATACGTCGAATTACTCCCTGTAGTAAAAGGAAAAGGTTACATTTACATATAAAAAGTCGGATTAGTGTTGTGAGTCAGGGTTATCAACCCACAGAGCTTTTGTCACAAACCAATACCAGCTATAATGCAAAAAGGTTAGGGGTAGTTATTAATAGTTAAGTTGGGTTTACGAATTAGGGTTAAGATTTTCCTCATGAAATGACATCAGCCAAAACACATGATTTTATCACCCTTGTGTTTACAAACTTAAGATTTGGAGCCGGTGAAGGAGAATATTATCTAGTTTCATTAAATACTTTTGATTATGCAATGAATCACAGATACTTTGACACACCACCTACTTTGAGAGTAGATATGTTTTGTAATTAAGTGACACAACAGCAATAATTTGATTAAATAATAGGAAATTATTTTCAGCTATAATGATGACTGCTTCAAATTAATACACCTGACTGAAATGAAATAAGTAACGAAAAAATAATAGGTTGGGGTAAAAATTAATTGGGTTACTCCACTGGATACCCTCCTCTAGAACTCTAAAAGTTGCATCTTGATACTAGTTACCGATGAGCATATGATTACCATAAAAGGTTTATTACGTTTGGTCAACTACGGCCTACCTCGATGGAAGATTTTTTCTGATGTAAATTGGGAAAAAGTAAGGAGAGGCCAAACCAAAATGCACTATCAGTCTGTCGAATCTAGAGCTGAGCAATGTTTTTGTTTATTAATAATTTAAATATACAACTATAAATACAAAGGGGTATCGAAATATATATGCGCTACACAAATCAACGACATTGTGTGTGGGATTTGATACTTTTTGCGTGCCCTAACGTAAGCAGGTGATTTTCCTGGAGAGAGACACTTCCCGAGCCCAATCCAAAAGGCAGTGGAGTAGAACCAGGAGATGCAGTCCCATAGTAGCCGATTACCAGCTACAGGTTCATATGCCATTTGTTTGCTACCAATCCTAGAGCCCTAGTGCATCAATGATTTGAAATCAGGGTTTTCGCACTCTCCCAGGTGGATCCGATATGGACATCAATAAGGCTCTTCGTCCTCTATCACCCCTGCCACAAGGAGGCAGTAGGCAGGTCTTCCTTGCCAGAGGTTGCATACACATAGCCATATGAGTACTTCGAGAAATAGAAAGGGAGCAAACTCCTCACTCTTGACCATACCAAGGCAATTGGAGACGAGCGATGTCCACTCTTAAACCCAGAGTCCAGAAATCTCATTCATTCTTTTATTATTTTCACACTTAATATGCCTTCTACTATTACTAGTTCTACAACACTCATGTCTGTTTTGATCATTTCATTTCGCCAATGTGGTCTGAAAGCTTGAATCGATAATTTATGTACCAAGTTGTAATTGTTCTTTAAGAGATTTAAAAATAATCCATAATACGAACCTGGTTGAATATTTCTTGTCGCTACAAAATGCCAACCGAATTCATTGTTATGATTTAATCTCACTGTTGGTGAGTCGTGTAAATGAATAGAGCGAAGAATTCTTGAATGTAAATTATGATCTGTAATATTCTTGCCATTATTATCAGTCTTTTTAATCATCCGTTGATTGTTTTCATGCTTTACTATCAACGATTTCGCTTCATGTACAAAGAATGGTGTAACTGATTCATTAATTAATACTTTATTCGAAGTTGAGCAATCTTTTATTCCTTTTTGTATCGCTTCATTCAAGTTGTTTGAAATTGTTAAGTGTTCAGATTTAATATATTCCAAACAATTATTAAATTCCGTTAACGCTTCATCAAAGCGTTTTAGTGAAAGAAGACTTTGTGCACGACGTATGAACAGACGTGGACGACGATCTTTAGGGAAATTGTACTTTTATAAAGAAAATAGGGTAAAAAAAATAAACAATAATTGAAGTTAATAATGGTAAAATAATTAAAATTTTTTGGTGATATTTCGAATGAGTGGGAATTTCTATTTGACATGCTTGAAACTATTACGAGTCCACCTTAGTCGGTAAACGAGAGCGAACACAAATGATCCAGTGACACGATAGGCTACTCTAATCCGAGCGTCCCAAGGCCCCATTAAGTAGAGGAAGAGTCTTTATAAGGAGTAGAAAGCGTATTCTGCAAGCACTCAGAAAATATGAGGTCGACAAGCACATAAATCGAGTTTATTTATACATGATAGAAACGTCCTTGGGAAAGCCACAAAAATAGCGTACCAAAATAGTGCATCAACCAATAGCAGCCAAGGATTTTCTGGGTGGGGAATGTTATCTCAAGGTCAACTGATCTAACTATGCTCGAAACATAAAATCCAAAATTAGGACCTTTATAAAGTGGGTTCAACACACAACACGAATAACAAATGATCACATAGTTTAACATGATCACTGTGTAGCTTTTCTTTAGAGTGTCAACGCATAAAAGTTATAGAAATCTACTGGTTGAAACAAATATGTTGTTAAACTAGGATGTAAGCATGTAAGCAGAGATGGAGAGGAAAAAATAAGCATGGATACAAAAAGCTGTTGACTTTGATCAATATTCACCACCTTCTGCCTATTAAGGCGAGTACCTAATAACATATCGTGTAGTCAGTCAATCAGCTACAACGTAGAACTTCGTACGTACGTGAATCGGAACAAATCGCCATAACACATTAGTACAGAGACTCAATTGTCAGTTCAAATCCCATAATAGTAGAGGTAGCAAAAGTATTATTGGTAATCAAAAAGATTAGGGTTCGAAGATATTATTCAAGAAATATAATTCAGTGAATTAAATTTAAAAAGAGAAAGATAAAGGTGATGAGGAACTCAGAAGGTTAGAATTAGAGGGAACACAAAGAATGGAGCATCTGCGCCATTGCAAACGATTGTGAGCCATGTCATTCAAGGTCTCTAACCATCGATTACTATCACCACGTGGACCTCAACTAGGTACTCTACAGTTACCAACACGACTCAGTCCAGTTGTCAGTGACTTCATGGATTTGTGCCATGTTTTAGTTTGGCCGCTCCTAGTTTTCTTTCAGCCTATCCTTATACCAGACAAAATCGCTCGTCGAGGCAGTCGATGGTTAGGCATACATAACACGTACCAACCACCTCAACTGATATAGCTTCAATACTTCATCTATTGATCCGCTATCCTCACCTAGTACCATTTTTCTAACAGCATTCCTGACTCGGTGGTCCCAGGATAAACGAGCGATGCTTCAAAGACACGTATGATCGAAAACCAGTAACCTGTGGATATCCTCTCCTCTTAGTGACCATGTTTCACACTCGTTAAGAAGGAGAGGTTGAATCGCCGCACAGTAAACTTGTCCTTTGGTTAGCAAACGGATGTTTCGTCTACGCCATAAATGACGCAAGTTGGCAAAAGCCAGTCCAGCCTTCTGTATCCGTGTCAAGATTTCGTCAGTCACCAGGCCATTAGAACTTATGAGAATCCACAGATAAGGTTCCGATACAACCCAATCCTATGAGGGTACAACAAATGGGTAGTTCATCAAAGTATTGCTAACATGTGATGGAACCTTCGAATGAGTTATCCTGAGGTTAGGGTTCAGGGTTCGGGATAGAGATATATTTGTTTGTAAGACTATAAACCATCATTAGTTCGAGTGATCCATGTATGTGTCATGGGTCCCCAATATGGTCTAGGTCAAAGGTTCGAGGAGTGGTCTCCTAAGGAAACCACTGCTTCTGTTTGGACAGAAAAGCAGTATCCCGGCCGATACGCAAATTCATTAATTTGTGTGGCTCATAAATGTTTAGGTGCTCCTTTGCGCAAATAACTTTGTTTAGATAAATATCCGTGACTATCACACTGGGATAGACTGGCTAGTACAAATCCATGAAGCCACGGACAGTCAGTTTGAATCAGCAGACTATACATAGATGTGACATCGGTCGAAATCGGTCTAAAGATTAAAACCAAGTAAGAATTTTCAGGCACTTAAAAGTTCTGAATCTCACAAACTGATTAGATTAAAAGGCTATAATTTTTAGGATAGTTAATACGCAAATAACCTATATTCGTATACTACAAACTCTAGTTCCCGTTAGTAAACAGAGGAAATTTTTAAGTGGCAGATATTGACCTGTAATGAAACCAGAAGAAAGGAGTGGAACAAATTAAGTAACTTCAAGGAAATAAACCAACTAATTAATCTCAACAACCTTCTAATTTTAATTTTGCCGAAGTTAGAAGTATAGAAACACACTGCGCATTGATATTACGAAAACATAAACCAACTAGCCTAAAAAGACTAGTGAACACATAACTTGATTGATAGAATTTAATAAAACCACAAGGAATAGCATAAAATTAGTTACTACTAAATAACAAAATATTATGAGCAGCATTCAGCAACAACTAACCCCAACCACTAAGAGAGTGATGTTGAGGTTAGACATTGAGCGACTGGACAGAGAAGAAAAGTCGACTTATGAAGCTAAAAGCCTTTGTTGATTGAGGTGGTTTGGACATCTGTTACATATCGTCTGATATTGCTGATCATTTCTTTCCGGTAGTGCTGAAACGAGGTGCGACGACTTGAAAGATACATATCTGTCGGAGGTTCTATGTTGGCTGCGATCGACAATTATATCCAACTATCAAACATAAATGCCGGGCTTAAAACCTCGATTTTCGAATGGACAGTCCGTAAAACATATTGGTGAGTTTAGAGGTCCACAAGTGTTTACTTATAGGCTAATCAGTAGCAATGCTTCATTTTTAGTTTACAGTGGTTCACAATTCGGATAGAAGGAGTGTAGCATACAAAAGTTGAACAATTTCGATTTCCTAGCAACTAAAAAACATGAGTGTACACAAATATGCTGAAGTTTATTTTCAATGTGTTGACGACAGGAATTTAGATCACTTATTTAGAAAACGCTACTTTTTAATTGGCTTAATAATAATAACATTTGAATTTTATAAACTTACTTTGATAGCTAGATCAATATCCTGCAGAACTGCTTCATGAACACCGATATGACTTAAAACACATGATCGATTACCATAGCCTAGAGCTTTTTCTTCAGAACTATCGGCAAAGAAAATTGCTTCAGTGTAGTAACGAAGAGCTAAAGATAATTTGTTAGTACGCCACGCTTCATTTCCATGTTCACGTTTTTGCTTTGCAATAGAATTGTTTTTCACAGCTGACGATTGGTCAGAGACTAAAGGAAAAAAGAAGCAATTATTAAATGAAATGATGTCGTGCTAAGGATACCAAATGATTTAAAAATATAGAACAGATAAATTCTAGTTGATAGTGAAATGCAAAACGCGCAGTTTGTATTACCTTAAACTGTTCAGCTGGATATACTTTCATTTACGGACGAAACATCTTAGATTATACTGCCAGCTAGAATCTATCTATTGTACAAAACTTGTGAAAAATGGCTATATCTAGGCAAATCGTACAAGATACACATAAGCCAACGAAGACTGACCAAAATTAAGTTTTGTAGCTGCGTTCGAATCAAAATAGGCCTCACTACTTTAGTGACCCATGAGCTGACTCCTTTATTTACGGACGTTCGAGTACGCTATGAAATAAATCGCCCCTACAGTTTTTACATATCATACTTTAGCGAACCTCGTTTGTACAACGGCCGTAGTAACAAGCCAAATACGGATTTGGTTGGATAAGTTTATTTCGTACATTCATTCAAGCAGACAGACGAGAATGAATAACGTGCGAGCAAAGCAAAGCGAAATGGAGAAAGCGAGTGAGCCAACTCAATGCAATTAGGCATGAGTAAGCATTCATACTGACAAAATAAGATAGACATGTAGTAAGCGAAGTAAACGGCACGCGAATAAAGACAACTAAAATAAAAGCGAATGGTTGGGAAGGTCGGAAGACGTGTGAATAATAGCTCGAAAAGTCGTTTTAGATCTTTTTCAATAAATTTAGCTGTTGATCTAGAGTTCAAGAGTTATATTCTGGCTACTGAGCAACCGAGCGTGGGAACAACATCTCATTATTATTTAGTGATTGGCCGGCCAGTTATTGGTCCTATACGGGCGATCTATATGAGTTAATCAACACTCTGACTAGAGAGAACACAGTAACTCTCTATTATAGATGGCTCAATTATACAGGTCTTAATATTGTATAAGCTGTTCTTTCTATAATGACATCGTCATCGCCTTTTAATTTAGAATAATTTTCCGGAAAAAACTAATACGCTGACAACAACAGTCTGGTGTGCAGCGAAACCCTTACTACAGTCACTTGTTAAACAAACGAGCAAAAAAAACATTAATTTTTTAAGTAATCACGTTAAAGAATAACGAACTGTATTAGGAGCTGGAAATGACAAGTGCCGATGTTCCTATGATTACCTGTTAAAATTAATGAGCAATGAGCGACCGTTATAAGTCATTTGGTTGAAAACTACGCTATACTGCGGTGCGGAAATAATACTTTGAAGAGACCAAAACGAAATTTGAGTCCATAATTTATTAAATTTATTACGACGAAGTGCCACTTAGTAATTCCAATCTTGGCCGCCATGGTATATATCCGAACTAACTTACTGCACTATTTACTTTCACAATAACTAGTTAAATGCAACATGTCTGCTCTGATTAGATTGAAGCTAACCAACTGTTGTTTTATTCGTAAGACAGTGTTTAACCCAGTCAGTTAGTAAGTTACAACATATAACTTCGTACATGAATACATAAGTTCAGGTTGCCATAACCCATGAGCACAGAGACGCAACTGTCATTCCAAAACCCATAGTGGTAGAAATAGTAGAACTATTCGCAGTAATGGAGAAGATTAGGGTTCGAAGATATGATTCGAGAAGTATAATTCAGTGAAGTAAATTTAGAAAGAAAAGGATAGAGATGATGAGGAACTCAGAAGACTACCATTTGAAAGAACACTGTGAATGAATGCACATGCGTCATTGAAAACGGTTTTGAGCCATATGACTAAGGGTCTCTAAACATTTGTAACTTTCGTCTCGCGGACCCCAACCAGGAAGTTGACACTTATCAACATGACTCAGTCCACTTGTCAATGACTTCATCGATTTGTGCCATGTTTTGGTTTGACCGCCCCTAGCTTTCTTCCAACCTACTCCTACACCACAAAACATAGCTCGTCGAGGCAGTCGGTGGTTAGGCATTCGTACCACACGTCCCAACCACCTCAACTGATGAAGTTTCAATACCTCATCTATTGATTTGCCATCTCTACCTAGTACTCGATTCCTAACAACAGCATTGCTTACTCTGTTGTCCAAGGATATACGAGCAAGGCATCGAAGACATCTATAATCGAACACAAATAACCGACGAATGTCCTCTACTCTTACCGGCCATGTTTCGCATCAATTTAGCAGGACAGAGAGAACTACTGCGCAGTACACTTGTCCTTTGGTCACCAAACGGATATCTCGTCTACGCCATAAGTGATGCAGGTTGGCAAAAGTCAATTGAGCTTTCTGTATCCGTGCTCAGATCTCGTCAGTCACCAGAACTGATGAGACTCCACGGATACGTGAAGCGGTCGACACGCTCGACTACTTCACTCCCTATCACTAGTTCAGGTGCCGATAAAACCCAATCTTAGAGCAACATTGTGCACTTCGAGGGGGAAAACCGCATCCCGAACATGCTTGCTTTGTTTCTTAGACTGGTCAGAAGACTCTGCATTTTGTCAGCGTCTTCATAGAATAGAACTATGTCATCGGCATATTCTAAGTCAGTAAGATTGTCACCTTGTAAAAGGTTCACTCCTATACATCAACGTCCAGGTCTGAAACCAGCCTGGTTTTCTCTAGTCTGCACTTCACGAGAACTAGTCAGGCGTCTAAGTATAATCGAGGCTAACAATTTAGAAACTATATTAGTTAGACTTGTTCCTCTGTGATTGTCACAAGAAAACTTTTATCCTTTCTTATAAATTGGGACAATCATGAATTGAGACCTACCTAAGATTTCAGTCAATCTAGCTGCTAAATCTGGACCATCATCCTTAACAATCTCAGGAGTTAGCCTATCCGGTCCTGCTGCTCTCTATCCTTTCAGATTTCCTGTCGCTTTCTCAACTTCATAAACAGTCGAACAACTTACATCTATTCGCCATTCAGGATGACTGGAGATCGTGGGTAGCCGAAATGTGGCTGAAGACCAATTGAACTGATCCCTAAAATGTTCTGCCCATCGATCCAATCTCCTGAATTGAGAACGAACAATAAGACCATCCTTTCCGAGATAGTTTCACTCACATTTGGGTTCCTAATACTGGTTTCCTTGATGAGTCTGAATAGTTTCCTACTGTTGCCTATCGCCGTCGCCTTTTCCATTTCCCTTGCTTTCGCTACCTACCACTGTTCTCGATCATTGCGAAGGCTTTTCATCAGCACGCACTTAAGCTGACTCCATTCCTCATCGTACTCAGAGCCAGACTGGATGAGCTTTCGGGCGTTCATCAGTTTGGTAGGTGCTACTGAAATCCACGGCATCTTCCTAACCATATGGTTTACCTTACTAGCAGATATCACTGCTGTTTCCACAGCATTTTTGATATTATTCCAAGCTGCCTCAAAATGGGCATCACTTACTACATGGCTGCTTAACTGTTTTTCTAGTTGTTCCTGAAATATATTCTTAGCTTTATTATCATTAAGTAGAGCCCTAAGAGGTTTCTTAGCAATATTTTACTTGCTTTCAATAAGGCGCAAAGAAATACGCGCTCGCACTACAGCTTGGTCTGAGTCTAAACACGTGCTTCAGAATGAGTGGCAGTCTTCAGCAGAGCCTCTCCACCGATGGCTTATAGCGATGTGATCTAGTTGGGTCGGCTTTGGGGGTCACCAGGTCAAAAGGTGTTTTACCTAATGCTTAGAGTTGGGTTTTTGCAAGGAATAGGCGGTTAACTGAGCATAGCTGCAGCAGACGGTCGCCATTATCTGTTCTATTAGTCGCGACACCATAAGATCCACCCTGATGTCTTTCCTGTTCACTCAGTCTACTTGAGTATTGAAGTCACCAGCCATTATTATTATATCAGAGTGCCTAACTTTTTGAAGCTCCGAAAGCTTTCTGTAGAACTCATCTTTCACATCGTCTGAACTGCAGTCAGTGAGGGCATAGGCAGATACGACGAAAAGGCAACGGTGTTTCCCTGTCTTTCCGAGTCCTTACTCTCCCGTTCAGTCTGATAGCACACAAACGACTATCTACTGGGATCCAGTCTAGAAGAGATAGTTCTGCTCTAGGAATCAATGTTATACCTACGCCAGCTGGGCCACGAGAAGCCACAATACGAGCAGCCGATAATAAGCGCGTACATTCCACTTTGCCGTTTACCAAACTTCTGCAGTTCAGAATTTAGTAAGAGTTTTTTTCCATTTCATCGTATCTATGAAAAGTGTATATTGCAAATAAGCTTAAAAGAGACTTAAAAACAAGCATGGAATGAAGTCTAACTAGTTCTGAAGATTTTCAGGAATATTTAAAGTTGTGGTAAAAACGATACTGATACTCTAGAATTGCCGACATCCGGTAGTCTCGCGAAAGATACACATTTATTTCGTAGTTAAAAACATAAATTTCTTATATGACCATTTATAAAACAAACAAACCATTTACTTGAGATTCTAAATTCTCGAAGAAATGGCATAACCATAAACTTTCTTATACGTTCATAATCTGTTTTGCATTCTTCAAACCCAGGAAGCCAAGGTAAATCATACGATGGTGGACTCATCTCTAGGACTGAATCCGCCACAAGATCACAAAAGCGATACAAATCTGATGGGTTTGAAGCGACCATTTTGTCTAAAAAAGATATGATTATTTGGTGACACTGAAAAACGAGCAATGCAGTATTGCGGGAAAGGCCGTTATTTACTACTTATATACTGGCACTTGAAGACAGCTAATACTAAATTTAGTACATTTGAACAGGTTAATCAGCGAGAATGTTCAGGGCAAAATAATGATTGCATGTGACATGAAGTACCCGAAGACAGTATCATTATTTGCCAGTAAGCATGCATTCATTCAAGAAACATATATTTGTATTGTTTTAAACAATGGCAGAAAGTCGTTCTTTCAACCACTAGAAAGCTTGTGTTGCGAAAATTTAAAAGAATGAAACCCTTATAAGAAAGCAAGTTGGTATTTGCCCTTATACTGTTCCAAACCAAGAGTAACTCTAGTCGCAGGGTTACCAATCTTCTTGACTCTATTTAATTTTAAAATGATGACAATCTGTGAACTGAAACTTAGAAATCTATGCAGCAGTAATAAAAACAATGGTCAAACCCAATAGAAACTTCAATATAATGACCTGGAATGCTTATAGTTCACAGTAAACCTGTAAATAACTCCGCCTGTAGTCCCTTCGGGGCTACTGCCGGTCCCAAGCCCGGATAAAGGAGGAGGGGTTGGCGCCCGCATCCCAACTAAAAATTACTTGCCAAAAAAACGCTGACCAGAAAAAATAATTCCAACCATTTTCACTCTGCCCTGGGGGTTGGAAGAAGAACTATGACGTCACGTGGTGAAAGCCGAGTTCCCTCGGAAGTCACGAGGCTGATGACCCTTCTGACAACCAGAGCAACCATTCTTTTAGGTACATGGAACGTTCGTACATTGTGGGGGACTGGAAGACTATTTCAAGTTGCTGCAGAAATGAAAAGATACAACCTCGAGGTGCTCGGCATCAGTGAAACACAATGGATACAGGTAGGACAACTGAGACTTGCTTCAGGGGAACTGCTGTTATACTCTGTCCAAACAAGCACAAAAGGCGCTAATAGGATGGGAATCTCATGGACTCAGGATCATTAAAGCATCCTTCAAAACAAGGAAAGAGGAAATTACAAAGAACGTCATCCGATGCTATGCACCTGCCAATGACTACAATGACGACGTTAAAGATCAATTCTACGAAAGGCTGCAGTCAATCGTCGAGAAATGCTCACCAAGGGGTTTGACGATTCTTATGGGAGACCTGAATGCAAAAGTTGGCATGGACAACACTGGATATGAAGACATCATGGGACGACATGGACTGGGAGGAAGGAACGAAAATGGTGAGAGATTAACAAACCTATGTGCCTTCAACAAACTGGTCATCGGTGGCACAATATTCCCACACAAACGCATACACAAAGCTACATGGATTTCACCGGACCACACTACTCAGAACCAAATTGACAATATCTGTATCAACAAAAAGTTCAGAAGCACTATGGAGGATGTGATAACCAAGAGAGTAGCTGATATAGCCTCAGATCACCACTTACTGATCGCCAAAATGAAACTCAAACTAAAGAAGCACTGGACAACGGGGCAGACAACATCACACAAGTTTAATACAGCCTTTCTTCGGGATACCGTAAAACTCAACGAATTCAAGATAGCCCTCACCAATAGGTTCCAGGCCTAGCACAATATACTCAATGGAGAGGAAGCAACATTGGAGAACAATTGGAAAGGGATCAAGGAGGCAATCACTTCAACATGTCACGAAGTTCTGGGTCACAAGATGTACCATCACAAGGATTTTATGTCTGTTGGTACTCTTGCAAAAATTGAAGAAAGGAAGAACAAGAAGGCAGTAATCAATGTCAGCCGAACAAGAGCAGAGAAAGTTGCCGCACAAGCTGCATACACAGAAGCAAACAGGGAAGTGAAGAAGAGCATCAGAACTGACAAACGAAAATATGTGGAAGACCTAGCAATGACGGCGGAAAAGGCTGTAAGAGGAGGAAACTTGGAACGATTGTACGAAACAACAAAGAAGCTGGCTGGAAACTATCGCAAACCAGAACGACCAGTGAAAAGCAAGGAAGGCAAAGTAATGAGCAACACTGAAGAACAGCGAAATATGTGGGTAAAGCATTTTAAGGAACTCTTGAATCGACCAGCTCCACTAAACACACCCAACATCGAAGCAGCATCCACGGATCTCCCAATTAATATTGGTGCACCTACGAATGAGATCAGTATGGCCATCAGACAAATCAAAAGCAACAAAGCAGCAGGACAGACAACATTCCAGCAGAGGCAATCAAAGCAGACGTGGAAGCAACTGCGAAAATATTTCACATTCTCTTCAAGAAGATTTGGGATGGGGAACAAGTACAATCAGATTGGAAAGAAGGATACCAGATCAAAGTACCAAAGAAAGGCGATCTCAGCAAGTGTGAGAACTACAGAGGCATCACTCTTCTTTCAATACCAAGCAAAGTCTTCGACAGGGTATTGTTAAACACAATGAAGGACTTCGTAGACGCCCAACTACGATACCAACAGGCTGAATTTCGTAAGGATCGATCGTGTACTGACCAAAATGCTACATTATGGATCATTGTGGAACAATCAATTGAATGGAACTCACCACTCTACATCAACCTCATCGACTACGACAAGGCATTCGATAGCGTGGACAGGAAAACAATGTGGAGGCTTTTTCAACACTACGGTGTGCCTGAGAAGATAGTTAACATCATACGGAATTCTTATGATGGAATCAACTGCAAAATCGTGCACGGAGGACAGCTAACAGACTTTTTCGAGGTGAAGACCGGTGTCAGGCGAGGTAGCTTACTCTCAACTTTTCTCTTTCTCCTGCTCATCGACTGGATTATGAAGACGTCGACATCTGGAGGGAAGCACGGTATCAACTGGACAGTTAGGACGCAGCTGGACGATCTGGACTTCGCAGATCACCTGGCTCTTCTATCTCACAAGCAACAACAAATGCAAGAGAAGACGACCAGTATAGCAGCAGCCTCTGCAGCAGTAGGTCTCATCATACATAAAGGAAAAAGCAAAATTCTCCGATGCAACACAACATGCACCAACCAAAGCACTCTTGATGGAGATGCCTTGGAGGATGTTAACACCTTTACATATCTGGGCAGCATCATCGACAATCAAGGTGGATCCGATGCACATGTGAGGGCGCGGATTGGCAAAGCAAGGGCTGCATTTCTACAGTTGAATAATATCTGGAACTCCAAACAAATATCAATTAACACCAAAATCAGGATTTTCAATACAAATGTGAAGACAGTTCTACTGTATGGAGCAGAAACTTGGCGAACTACCAAAGCCATCATCCATAAGATACAAGTGTTTATTAACAGTTGTCTACGCAAAATACTTCGTATTTGTTGGCTAGACACCATCAGCAACAACGTACTTTGGAAGAGAACAAACCAGATTCCAGCGGAGTTGGAAATCAGGAAAAAGCGGTGGAAGTAATAGGACACACATTACGAAAAGCACCCAACTGCGTCACAAGACAAACCCTCACTTGGAGCCCTCAGGGCAAAAGGAAAAGAGGAAGGCCAAGGAACACATTACGCCGAGAAAGAGAAAGACATGAGAAGAATGAACAAAAATTGGACAGAATTCGAAAGGGAAGCCCAGGACAGAGTTGGTTGGAGAAAACTGGTCGGCGGCCTATGCTCCATTTGGAGTAACAGGCGAAAGTAAGTAAGTAAGTAAACCTGAAATAAAGACGGATGAGCACAAATAAGCAAGTAAGTTTTTCTGCCAGAAAGATCCATTAAAAACAGTGATATTTTTTGAATAGCACTTTATTCAGATCTATTCTCAAATACACAAATATATACACACTCAAAAATAAAGTTAGTAGATATTATCTAATTGCACATTCAATATACATATATATGTGGAAGGCTCACAAACACAGATGGAATTTTAAATTTAATCGAGAATAAAGATGGAAATGTAAAATGCTAAATGAAAAGCTACAAAAAGTTAATGATAGAGTAAAAGACAGAAACAAAAGAGAATAATAGAATCTAGTTGGTCAATACATCAAGATGATATTGAACTGGTGGGACTACCATTACTACTGCCAACACCACTGGTACTATTATTAATTATTGTGGAAACAGTATCAGTAGCTGTCGATGTACTTGAAGCAACTTTAGCGTCTAAATAGAAAAGAATGTAAGCTGTATAAGAAGATTTCGAGGTTTCCGTAGACGAGCCAAAAAAGTCTTCAATATTGGTACGATGAATTTTCTAGGGGGAAAAGGAATTTCACGTCATACAGAAATCAAAGTTAAACTATATATATACGTAGACGCGTATAGTTTTAAAAAATGTAAAAAATGACTACACCCGTGTGGGGTTTGAGCAGTGCCAATCTAAGAGAGGGAAAGAAGGCTTTACAACTAATTAGATAAAGTGGGATTCGAAGCCGCAACCCCATGAGTGGCATTTGGATAACTGATTCAAGAAATCAGTCCCGTTAAAAGAGAAAACGCGAGTCAATTACTAAACAGAGCTAGAACATTAGACCGAGAGTGATATTTACAATGGACAGAAAATATCATCTAGGTGATGAAACCAAAAAAGATGGAATCAGTGTGAAGCCTTTAATCGAAATCGATTTGCAGGCATTAGGCGGAAGTATTAGTTTCGTGTGGATAAGTCAAGGAATTGTAAGTGTTCAGGCTGAATGGAATATACAGTGGAAAAGGTAGGTAGTCCGGATGCACAAAACGTAATATTACTAAATTTAACCCTCCTGAGATACAAATCTTCTTCATCAGTACGAGATCCGATAAGGTAATGAAAATTAATCTACTTTGTCTATAAAGTATCAGGATACTTAACAGAATAATTCGTCAACGAGCGATGGCATAGAACTGAACAAATGAAAATTTGAAACTAAATCATACTATATGGGGAATTAAGCATTCTTGTCAAAAAATTTAGTTAGTTAGAACCAGACATTAGTAGCAGCGGCTTCATATTTAAGAACTTTAGACTCAATCATTGAGCTGTGATCCATTTCTTTTAATGTGGGCATCTAAGGAGTATCACTAACACTCAAATGGTGAGGTAATTGGGGGGTCATGAATGATGTGACTCGAACACAAACATAAAGATACCGATTTCCGCTTCTTTGTGGCTGAGACATTTTATTCATCAAATAAAGGAAGGTTATTTCTCTTTAAGAGACAGTATCAATTGTCCTATAAATATAAATGCCTAAAGAAATGGGGCATGAAACTTACTTCAACAAGTTCGTCATCAAACAAAAACCATAGGCCATGAGACTTCACAAGTGTTACATAGTGTCCACGATTCGGTCCAGAACCTGAGTGAACCACAACGGCCATAAGATTATATAGGCGATCAGCATTAGATGAATCGCTAGACTAGTGGTGAAAAATGAGAAAGCATTAGAATATCAACTACTAGATCTTTAATAGACGTAAGAAATGAGAAACAATTTATACACTGAGAAGCTTGAAAACAGTTAACATATCATTGCGCGGATGTGGTATGGAAGCTTGGATCGACCTACATGTGTCAGATTCTACGTTGATTATGACTAACTAACTAGTCGACTTATTGAAGCTGTTTCGTAATGAGGTAGTTGGAAATAATTTGGTTTTTGATCCTATGTTGTTTAAATCACAGACATTGACATGTGCATTTGTATTAATGTGCTAATGTGATATGGCAACTTGAACTGATGTACGTGCATACGAAGTTATACGTTGTAGCTGACTGTTATTACCAAAAATTATGAAGGCGGATTGATTTCTATTTACCAGCAGGAACTTTTGACAGTAAGTGGCATAAAAAATCACAAAAAAGCCTTTAATAAAACTAACCGTATTAAACAGTCTTAATTCCATAGGGAACGCAACTCTGTAGGATAGCTTGATAAATCGATTGAGATTTTCTGAATATTTGAATCGCTTTAAATGCAAGGCCAGAAGTAAAGGCGGCTTTTTAATGCGCATCCTATGAAAGATAATAAACGAGAAATCTGGTTGACATTAGTAGAAAACACACACTTAAGTCAGTCTACGAGTAGATAATTCTAGCTGATAGGAAAAATTTTAAAAAACACGCATGATAAGCTGGAAGGTATCACTCTAACTCGGGCTCCAAAACTTTCGTCTACGTAAGGTGGGACATCAGTAAAATGTGTGGTTTATGCCCACTGAGGAATCACTGTGCTTATAATACTCTAGAGGCGGTTGTAGCGTGAATCACATCTTGTCCGAATTGAATTAGTGACGACTGAGAATGAACTATGGAGTTCATAGTATATTGGAGTACTTATAAGTTTGTGTTTCACTTGAAATAAAAACATCTTTAATTCGCACAGTAAGTTTCCTATAAAAACTCACAGTTATTGTATTTCCTGTATGCTATTTTAATGTGTAAGGTGTATCTCAAAATCAAACGCGCTTCAGGGACGGCATGGATTACATAAAACAGACAGACAGATACAAAGCAGAACTTCGTACGTAAGTACATCAGTTCAGGTTGCCATGCTCCATCAGCACAGAGAAGCAACGGTCAGTTCAAATCCAAGAGTGATAGCCATAGTAGAAGTATTAGCAGTAATGGAGAAGATTATGGAGCGAAGATATTATTCAAGAAGTATAATTCAGTGAGATAAATTTAGAAGGAGAAAGGTAGAAATGATGAGGAGTTCAGAAGGTTAGAATTTCATAGAACACAATGAATGAATGCACATGCATCACTGCAAACGATTCTGAGCTATGTCATTCAAGGTCTCTAACCATCGTTGACTTTCGTCTTGCGGACCCTGACCAGATAGTCGACACCTATCAACATGACTCAGTTCACTTGTCAATGACTTCATCGATTTGTGCCATGTTTTGGTTTGACCGCCCCTAGCTTTCTTCCAACCTACTCTGCATTTTGTCAGCGTCTTCACCAAATAGAACTATGTCATCGGCATATTCTAAGTCGATAAGCGAGCAACCTGGTAGAAAGTCGACTTCTGAAAAGTCAGACGAAGATAATGTCATATCTGGCAGCATGTCTATGACAAAATAAAACAAGAAGGGGGAAAGTGGACATCCCTGACGGACACCACTTGAAGTAGAGAATTCCGGTGACAGTTCGCTATAAGCTCTCACTCGACTAGTGGTGTTCGAGTAGAGAGCTTGTATAAGGTTGATGTACTTCTTTGGTACACCTTTCAATGACAGACACTGCCACAAAACCTCACGATCCACAGAGTTAAATGCCGCCTTAAGGTCTAGGAAGACAACTATTGTAGGACGCCTAATTGTGTGTCTGTGTTTCAGGACCTGTCTGTGTGAAGACATGGTCTATACAGCCACATCCAGGTCGAAAACCAGCCTGATTTTCTCTAGTCTGCGCTTCACGAGAACAAGTTAGGCGTCTAAGTATAATCGAGGCTAACAATTTAGGAACTATATTAGTTAGACTGATTCCCCTGTGATTGTCACAAGAAGACTTTTGTCCTTTCTTACAGATTGGGACAATCAGGGATTGAGACCACTCGGATGGGATTACGTGCAGTTCCCAGATCCTACCTAAAATTTCAGTCAACCTAACTGCTAAAACTGGACCACCATCCTTAAATATCTCAGGAGTCAATCTACCGGGTCCTGTTGATGGATTACATAATGTTACTCATTTACTGAGTCCTGATATTGGCAACATACATTTTGTAATTGCTGCGATTTTGTCGGTCACTTTTTAAAAACTCGTATCCAAATATGAAAAACTTTCGCTAATCGAAATTACGGACCAATTAGATATGCTAACTTTACTAACGTTTGATAAACTTCTGTTAAAAAATCACATGTGAACTCACCGCCTCTGAGCTTCCTGTTTGCAACGACAAAATTCACAGTAATACTTGTTGTCTGAACGCATCGTTTCAGTATCGGAAAAGCAACGGAGACAATAAGAAATATCAACGTTTTCTCCGACATCAACTGATAGGTCGAGGAAATTTTCCTCTTTAGTGCGAACGTTATCACAGTTAAGGCATCTAGTTTCATTGGTTAGGCTTCCCTGGAAAATTTCATGAATCCAATTTTGACTACCATGCTTTCTATTACTTTCAGAAGCACCAATCACTTCACAATCATTCGAATCTCCTGCATCTTCTACCCCATTTGACTGTTGTTCAGCTAAAAGGTTGGTTTGAGATATGGTGATTACCTCTTATTATGTCAGCTATTTTGTTTAAAAGATAATTTAGGAACTCATGAGCATCCTGTTGTAAATAGTTATCAAATAATCCTAAGACAGAAGTGAAATTTCATAAAACATCACTCCTACCATTCTCCCGCTTCAACTTTTGTATGAATTTCTTGGGACGCATTTGGCCCACTCTTCTTTGCTGAGATACAACTGAATAAAAAAGATCTGAAAGACATGTCAATAAGGTTTCCTTTTTGGGGTGTTTTGCTCGGTCGTTGTATTGTAAGACTTTGTCTCGAAACGGCTTACAAAAGAACAAAGCTTGTATAACTGAATTACAATAGCATGTATTTCCGAACTACAAAATTTATGTAAAAGCTGATATACTTACGTTTACCAGCCCAAAATATCGTTCTCCACTGAGAAGTTGATCATTGGCAATCTCTTTCTCTAATTGAGAACTACTAAGCCCCTAATAACAGTGATATGAGTTTGAAGTAAAATTACCATTTTCAAGCAATTAATACGAAGGAAGGACTCCAGAAACCTCATAATGAAGTATCATCATGATCTCACGACGAAATAAAGTTGTAGCGCAAGTCTCTTCGTAACTTTAATCTTTGGTTAGTTTGTGTTTAACCAAGAGGTAGCTTGTGTGCTAAGGAAGTGTAAGGAGCAGAGCGTGAAGTAATCTGAAAAGAGGAGAAAACAGGAGAAAGTGTGAGCTGACTACTCAGTGAGCACATAGAATGCAATAATATGGAGAACAACAGATAGCAACTAAGAATAACACAAGCATGAGATCAAAGCTAACCGATGATTGAAACCAGAAGTTGGTAGATTAAGGTTACGGATACGTTTCACCTTTTTTTAAGTGCGGTATATGTTGATTCAATTTACAATGCTTTTGTGTGAAACTGACTTTCTATACTCTGAAACTATTAAGGATGATATTCTGCTTTGAACTATTAAAGTGCTTGATCATTCACTTCTTAAACTGTTTCCAAAAATATCAACCATTTGTAATGAGCATGATATTATGATAAGGTTAGCGAACTAATTTGCAAACTGTCGTTTCCACTAATATCCAATACTGCACATTCCTACTAAAAAAAAGTGAGCAAACATCTCCATATCTGCCTTTCCGCATGCCTAACCACTTATTTTTCCTGATAAGTGTCGTATATTTGTTACTTTTCCTTTAGTAAGTTTACTTTGATTACTAATTTTCATGTCAATATCCAATATCCTTTTCACGATCCAGTATAGACCATTTGATTTCTTTGCGTTCAATTCTTGTTCTTTCGGTACGGTTCCAGGCGTTTTGTGATGCTCAGTGAATGGGGTCTAGCCACTCGACTGTCTAATTCTAGTCATTTGACAGTTGGTTGTGAGCTTGTATGTCCCGTGATTTGAATGAATACGTGTGTTTCAGGTCAATCGAATTTTAGGATACTAGCAGCTATCATATTACCAGACTGAGGATTAGTTGATTGCAATGTGTAGAATGATAAGAAGAAAAGTCTAGTGTCAATAAGATTTCAGAAATAATTAAATTAATAGATAATTTAGTTTATTAACTGGTAGTGAAGATTGTGCAAGAGGACTGAAGTGTAAGCAGTGGAGAGGAAACAGAGATAATAAGTGAAATAGGTAAAGTTGGTGATATGAGGAGATAGCAATCATAAAAAGTAGCATGTCTCAAGACATGCATCAGGCACAGCTTGTCCGAGAGGGAGATGATAATCTGTGAGTGCTTGTGTATCAAGTCTCTTAAAGCTGTTCACTGAGGGGGCTGTTATCACTTCGGCTGGGAGAGCACTCCAAGTTGCAACGAGTCTTAATGAGAAAACGTTTGCACAAACCCGAGTATTCGCTCTCTGATGTTCATTTTTTCGAAGATTCCCTCGAGGGTAGTGGTTGTGATCCATCAGTAAGATGCTCACGTTGGGATGATTGGGCGTCCTTAATATGTCGTATACCACAATCAGATTACCTCTGACCCTCATGTAGCTCAGTGGGAGTAGTCCCAAGTGCTGGACTATATCTTCGTAAGTTTTATTTTTCAAACATATCACCTATTTCACTTCTCATCTCTGAATTCGATCCAAGAGATTTATGTCTCTTTTAAGTAGAGGGGGTGCGACAACGTTATGAACCTCCGGGTGCGAGTGCGCGTATGTCTTAAATAACGCTAAGAATAATTGTGTGTTGATAGCTCCAAGTTGTCTTCGCATAAAGTAAAGGGTTGCACCTCCCATTTAGTTTGAACTGTTGTGGAGGCTTTCAGTGGTTATTGAATCGAGATCGCTCTTTGAGGAGATATTAAGGAGCAGACTCCCACTGAGGTTGTAAATCGTTTGCGTCATATGCACATGACATGACATTTCTGTTTGTTTAGTTTTAAACCGTTTTTTACTGCCTATTCCGTAATGAATGTAAGGTCCTGTTGAAGCTCAGTCGAATCCTCTTCGCTTCTAGTGGACCTACATATCTTTGAATCGTCTGCGTAGACCAACTACGGCGAGCTACCTGCGTCTAATGGGTCATTAATAAATAGCAGGTGGAAAATAAGACCTAAAATAGTCCCCTGTGAAACTACCGAAGAGGATACTCCCCAGCTCGCTTGCACTGTATTTCCCTTGGTTTCTGAGCCAAGATACGAGTGGATCAGAGAGAATAGGCTTGCGCTGGGTACTGTGTCGAAGGCTTTTGTGAAGTCACGAAATATTACGTGCACCGGTTTTAACTGACTCCCTAATGTTATTGAGTTTCCAGTAGCTGTTTTGTTTTTATCATCATATCCCGATTTTTGGCGACTACCATATTAGGCAACCGTTTTTCTGATGGATGATGTTAGACGTAGTTGTGTAAACCCTTCCTTAATAAGGTAGATATGTAATTACTTAATTGTAGCGATAAAGGTTGGTATGTGTCAGAAGAAAAAAATGTTTCAAACGACTCGATCAAATAAGGTCAAACTGAGGTATGACAGATTGATAAGATTTATCGCATGACGTTTGCACCCAATGAAAAGTAATTTTGTTGTAGCCTAATTAATATTAGTGAGTAAAAGTCAAAATGAAGCAAAAAAATATATGACTACTGATTTGGAAAGAACCATCATATCACATATGAAGCATAGATCATTTAGAACAAAGAGAGAAGTAGATCATCACTTGGTGTTGGACTGGATAAAGATGAAACCGTGCATTGGGAAACCGGGCGAACAGCATCAAAAAACCTTAGTATAGCATTCCTTCGGGATACTGGCGGGCTCAACAAATTCAAGATAGGTCTAAGCAACACTTTCTAGCGTTTCACGATCTACTCGATAGGGAACAACTAAAAAGAGATCAGGGAAGCAACGATTTCTAAGTGTCGTAATGTTCGGACACAAGAAGCTCCATCACAAGGAATGAATTTCTGTTCGTACTCTGGATAAAATTCAAGGAAGGAAGAACAAGAAGGCAGCAATCAAAGCCAGCCGAACAACAGCAGAGAAAGTGAAGACACAAGCTGAATACACAAAAGCAAACAAGCAAGTAAGGAGAAGCATCACCGCTTATAATCGAAATATATAGAAGATGTAACCAAGAAAACAGAGAAAGCAACAAGCGATGGCACATGACACAGTTGTATGATACGACGAAGAGGCTCGCTAGAAAATACCGTAAACCAGAACGACCAGAGGAAAGCAAGGAGGTTAAAGTAATCATCGGTATGGAAGAACAGCGAAACAAGTAGTTAGAGCACTTTAAGGAACTCTTGAATCGACCAGCTCCACTGAGCCCACCCAACATCGAAGCAGCATCTACGGACCTCCCGCTTTTGAATAGACCAGTCCTATTGAACCTACCCAACACCAAGGCAACACTCACAGAACTCCCGTTTGAAAAAAAATCAGCTTAGGCATGGGACGAATGAAGAGCGGCAAAGCAGCAGGACCAGATAACACTCCAACTGATGCACTGAATGTAGACATGGCATTAAGTGCAAAGTTATCTCTGCTCTATTCAGTAAGATTTGGATGGAAGAAAAAGTACCAAAAGACTGAAAGAAGGGCACTTCATCAAGATAACAATGAAAGGAGGTCTCAGCAAGTTTGAGAACTACAGAGAAATCACTGAACTCCTACAACCTGGAAAAGTCTTCAACACGGTGATATTGGACAAAATGCAAGATTCCATAAGCGACCAACCTAGAGATCGGAGGACTGGATAGCTCGATCATATACCGACCGAATTGCAAAACTGCAGATCATTGTGACACAATCTACTGTATGAAACTCACTACAATACACTAAGTCTCTTGACTACGAAAAAGCAATTGATAGCATGGACAGGACGACACTAGGGTCTTCCTGAGAAGATAACCAACATCACACGGAATTCTTTGAGTGGATTTAACTACAAGCTCGTCCATGGATAGTAGCTCACAGACTTATTTCAAGTGAAGACCACTGTCAGATAAGGTTGCTTACTCTCACCCTTTCCCTTTCTCCTCGTGGTCGACTGGTTTACGAAAATATCAACACCACAGGGAAACACGGAATACAGTGGACAGATCGAATGCGTCTGAATGATCTGGAATTCTTAGATGAACTAGCCCTTCTATTCTACACAAATGAGGAAGAATACGGTCAGTGTAGCAGCAGCGTCTGCAGGAGTAGGTCTTGAGATCCTCTAATGCAACACAGCATGCGCCGACCGAATGCAACTAGACAGAGAAGCTTTGGGGATGTTGGAACCTTTAAATATCTAGGCAGCGTCATTGATGAACAAGTTATATCGGATGCCGATGCAAAGGAGCGGGTCGGCAAAGCAAGGGCAGTATTTCTACAACTGAAGAACAACTGGAACTCGAAAAAACCATCAACTAACACCGAAGTCACGACTTCCAATCCGGACGTCAAAGCGGTTCTGCTGTAAGGAGCGGAAACTGGGAGAACTACAAAGGACGTCATCCAAAAGATATGGGTGTTTATTAAAACTTGGGTAAGCAGGATACTGAGGATCCATTGCTCAGATACCATGAGTGGCAACCTACTGTGGGAAAGGACAAACCGGATTCTAATAGAGGAAGGAATTCGGAAGCGTTGCAAACGGATATGATGAACAACCAGGAAAGCACCCAGCTACGTCACAGGACAAGTCTTCAAGGCCAAAGGTAAAAAGGAAGACAAAAACTCATTAAGTCGAGAACTGGAGACGGACGTAAAAGAATGAACAGTAACTTGGTAGGACAAGAAAGGAAGGCAGGAAGGAAGATCGGCTAATGCTGGTCATCACCATACTCTCCATCAGGGGTAACAGGCATAAGTGAGTTTATTTAATAACCACAGGATCTATGTAGGTTTGTCATGGAAGTTTTTGCCGAGTATTTTTATGAAAATCTATCTGAGAAACGAAAAGTCAGACCATTAGTGACGGCTGAAGTCACCTTCGACAGGTGTTGTCACAATTCTATGCCTTTGAGCGACGTCAACAACTTTCTCAATGAAAATCCCGTGAATGGGTTTGTGTCAAATTACTTTCTACCGTACGAGGCGAATGGTTCTCCGTTTACTGCACCAAACTGAAACTGGTTGTTGTGCACGATCACTCGTGTTTGCAGGAGAGAGTCAACTTCTTCTCAGGTGTCCACGAGATAACAAAAATTTGTTTTTTGGGAAGAGGGTGGGGTGATTGAAGTTTCTAGCTGGCCCATCGCCGGTGTTGTGGTACCAACAATAATTAAAATTATCTGCTTCTTTGATCTATGAACAGATCTTTTCCAAGGCAGGTTTCTCTGTTCAGTTTTAGCCTCTCTGTGGCCGCAGCTGATGGCAAGAAAACAGGAGGAAGTACGGCAGATATTTGTAGTTTCGTTCTGTTTCACTTGGTACTTTTCTTTGACAGTTGAGACATTTATACAAAGGGTCCTAGTGATTTCCAG